AAAAGTGGTAATATTTTATGACTTGGTTTATTCTAATAATTTACTTATCAATTCCAGTCGTAGAATTCCAAGAATTAATATAACGCTTTTTTATAAATATGTTGCTAAAACTAAAAAGTTCGGGGTGTTGATCGAGTCTTAGAAAATTTATGCATTCACTCTTTAAGATTAAATAGTGATGTGAAATGTATGCGAATTTTTCGCTTTGGCCATTCACCGATCACTGCAAAAGTTGCCATGCTATAAAACTCATGTTTCAGTTGTCCATAAGAACATATAGATTTAAAAGTAGAGAAGTAATTATCAAAACCACCTATATAAGCGTTATCAACATTTTTCTTATCGAGGGAAGGATAGAAACACTGGTATCTCCAACGTTACTGAAGGATAACTTATCACCGCTTTTGCAGTGGATGATGCCTTCAAGATCTGCTTTCTCAAATTTGAGGTCCACATTCCAGTGTTTTTTTTGCCCAGCATTAGACTATGTAAATGGTGGTCGAAAGCTAATTTCACATATCACAAAAATGATAAAATTGATGAACTCGACAAGATCAGAAAATTCTGAATAAACACGAATGTCGTTCACAGATTCACATTCCAGGATAGAGCTTGGTAGAAGAGTGAACAACCTTTTTACACGCGTTGATAACAACGAACAAGTCATTGTTTCAGTAAAACACGTGCGCTTACTAAATACTGTTCAAAAATTTTCAATTACACATTAGCTAAAAGGGTGAATTTAAATAAAATAAAAAACATAACAGACGTGTCGCACAGTACTTTGTTTACTGGGAGTTCTACTGAATGCAAATGCCGGACATTATCGCCTACAGTCTGTATGCACCTTGAATTTTTCGATTTATTTTGTCTTGGCACGCGAATATGTGTGGTATGAATTAACAATAACCACAGGGCAATCTAAATAAAAGGTGTTTTCAAATGAATTTTGTAATATATAGAGCATAGGTATAGATGTATCACGTACTTCGGTAGGTAAATAAATAAATATTGATACTATACAGTAGTAAATGCTGTGCTCCTCGTAGTATAACTTAAGTTTTAAGTTAGTTTTATTAAAAACATTGTTAAAAATATAAATCAAAATAACAATAATTATTATAACGCATAGAAAAACTTACTACTAATTTAAACTTCACACACGTTTGTCAAGCGTAATCTAGTACCTATGGCACACATAGGAGGGTATATATGGGGGAATGTTTTCGATTTGGATCTTTCTACAAGAGATGTTGGCTCATGACTGCAAGAGCCAAAGATATTGTTTTTTTTATGATTTCGGCCACTTTCATTACATTTCCTAAAATAAATTGAGTTTATCATGGAACATTTCGTTATCAATTTGCCTCTTCACCTTGTGTGAGTGAATATCATTTAAGCTACTAAGCGGATATAACATTTTCGTACAGTACTTGCCTGCATATAAATTTTACACTTAATTAAATTTAACTGCAATGTCCACACACTTTACACACCTCGTTTAATGGCATCGGACACGAATCACCAACGGTCATGTTGAGCGCCAACGTCCTTTATTGGTTGTAATCGAGGTTTGAAAGTAATCTCGCATGCGCACATTGAATAAATATCCTTTCTCGACAATTTTTAGTGTTGGTTACAAAAATGCCTGTATCAGCATACATAGGGAAGTCTGTCCGAATGCGCCAAAAAGCAATCCTAAATTAAACTCGTGAACATTAATGATAGTGAGCCGAATGTGCCTTAGTAAAATGTTAATCATTAGTCAGATACAGGGTGTTAAGATTGAGGTCGCGAAATTGTTATTTCGCCATGAGTCATGCAGTTTTTGACGTATAAACATGAAAATTTCGGAGTTTGTCCCTGCCATAACTTTATTGTTAGTACCATTGCGTTACTTTTTTTCGCGATATTTGCAGCTGAATACACTCACTTCCACAAGAAATCGGTCACTATAAACAAAATACAAACCACAAAATTGACTCGCAAATCGTTCGTTGAATTTGATGATCTGTTTTTTTGTAAATTGTCACAAACATTTATTCAGAATTATTTGGACATACACATTTATTTCAAATAAAATATGTTGTCCAGATATTTTCGTTGCAAATCAAATAGCTGACTGAAAAACAGTTTATAAAAATGGGTGGGCTATGGATTAGAAATCAACAGATTCACATTAACAGTAGTGCTGATCTTCATTAATGTAAATAAAAAATTCTTTAACGTTATTTTAAAATGAATATTCAAGTAATTAAAACATGCGTCAGTAAAATGTCACTCATTGAGATAATACAGGATTGCATATATGTTCAAATCAAATTCTGTATAAAAGTTGTGATATTATGGCGTTGTTTCCCAAGAATGAATTAAAAAATGACCATCAAAATCAAACGAAACGTTCACAATTTTAAAATTGAGGTCAGTTTTTAGTGCCGATTTTTTGTGGAGCTAAGTGTATAAAAATATATTAAAATCTCTAAGACGGTGTGTTTTATCGAAACAAATGTAATCGTCACTGTATCATAATCTTTAAAAAAAAAACTAAAATCGATACTAACAAGAAACTTATGGGATGAAATAGAGAGACTGTAGGAAGTAACTAGAGCCCACTACATCTTATGAGAAACAATATAATCTAATCGCCACCTAGAAAATCCCCTAAATCTAAATTTTAGTTTCATCAACTGCTTGAGCTATAGACAAATGACAACCTCGAAATAATATATTATGCAACAAGTGCGGTAAACGGCATTTGACTCACGAGTTTATTTGACACGAGCGGAGCGAGTGTTTAATAAACGAATGAGTTAAAAAAAATTTCTACGACCGTTAGTTTTATTATTTATTAGTTATATTTCCGCAAAACAACACGAATACATTCACTGACATGACTGTCAGAATTGACAAACGTCAAAATTCAAAGCGTGGGAAATATCTCCGAAAACATCCGATTCCTCCCAAACAAGTGCGGTAAAATCCCGGAAATGTCCGAAGTGGCTCGGATTCGTGGGAAACGAAACTGACGTGGTAAAGTGGTGCTTCCCGCACGCTAGATTCGTGCGTAATTAAGTATTTTACAGACGGGAGGAGAAAAACTAAATTTTAATATCCAGAATCTCAGTGACCAATATTTTACTAAGATATATCTGGCTCAATATCATTATTTTCACGCTTTTGTAAAACGTACGTTAAAATCAGTACACTAATAGTTTGTTTATATTTTATATGATTGACAAAAAAGGAATTCCGCTTTGGTTTTAAAGAAACTACTTAGCAAAAGATATATATAGTTCTTTGACGACCAAATGAACGATCAATACATTTTATATAAAGCTGCTATCCGAAAATGTTATTTGTGATATCCACAAAAACCTAGTAACCCAGAAACAAAAAGTTACATATGCCGAGTGAATATTCATTTATTGCTTCTCGGTATGACTAATTGCAAAATTTCGGCAAAATTTTATCCTTAAAAAGGATCCTATTAGTATTCAAAGGTCATCTCGGCGAAAAACAATAGGACTTGAAGTGATTGGAAAAACCTGAAATAAATGTGGTATTTTAAAATGCATATCTGACACTCGATGTAATCCGTTCGAAAGAACTATGAGAGTGCAAACTTGGTGTATATAGATATCCCCAAACGTGTTTCTCAGAAGACGTATGAGACACGCCGCCAAAAGCGTGCTAAAATTTGGTCATAGTTTATCGTCTACATATTCTTCGCTTTAATTCGACAAGAAAATGTTCCAAATAGTAGCCGAAGAGGTTAACTAACTCTAAACTCTTTCTAAAATCGTTATTAGTTTTTGGGCATTTTTTTGCAGAACAGCATGCTATACGTATCCTAAGATTGCTTTTTGATATAATAAATCTATTAACCAGGGTTTGGATTGAGATAGTTTAAAAATAAACTTTTTCTACTCCCTGCTCTAAACTATCAAATTATGCAAGGATGGTTTTGATAGTCACGTCGTACACCTTATTGAATATTTTTGTGTTTTGCAACAATGTACCCACAAACTAATGGTCGTAGAAAAAGTATAGTATGCATCATATTGATAAACTTCTTCAGCCAATCGCTTGTTAAACACTGGCTTTGCTCCGTTTGTGGCAAATCAAATTCGTGACTAAAGTGATCAATAATCAAACGTGAATAATATATTTTTTATTATAGCTCGTATACCGATATTTAATGTATATCTTATGCATGCCCATAGAAACAACAGAATTAATATGATTAATTAATTAATATGAGAATATGAGCTCGAGTTCATTATTTAATGATTTGTCGTATGAGAAGGTGCACGGACCTGCCTGACGGGCGGACATTTCCAAAATTTGTTATAGTCTACTTTTCAATTTAATATATTGTATCTAGAAAAGTCTGCATTTCCGGATCCATATCCATAAAAACTTTCTTCACATATTTTAACAAGGAATCGCCTTCTAAAATACCTTCGTCTATATTTCGAATAAAATGTCCATTAACACGCAAAATCATCCTTATTAGTCCTGAAGAAAACAATAAAATTGCCGAAATGTTGACCACATAAAATGAATTTTAATTTTCATAAACCCAACCCAAAACCCAACAATTCCTTGGTATCGAAAGGCAGGCTGTTATATTTTTCGTTTTTAAGTTTTATTCTTTTATTTTATTAATTTTATTTCTCAATAATAGAGAAAGTTTTAATAGTACAATTATAAAAATTGGTAGTTTTAAGGTTTTTTGACATGACAATTACGAATTTGAAATTTATTTAGACGTTGCTTCTATAAATCGAATCATATTTGTTTATCTGTCGAGTTTTGGTTGATGGTAGTTGTTTAGATCGTCTAAGTCTGTCGCGTTCTGACTTATTTGCATTTAAAAAGTCGAAGATATTTTTCAAATTTTTGTAAATATTTTATTTAATAAATTTTAACAATAAAAATTTTGGTAATAATAATAAAAAAAAATAAATCAAATATCTACCTCAATACAAACTAAACAATACTTTGGCGATTAATGAGAAAATCCAAAACAAACAAACAACTCAACGCGCACTATCTCCGAAACCAGCGGCAATTGTAGGAATCATGTTAATTTCAATCAATAAGTGAGAAATTCTGACTTGTTTTTCAGAAATTCTGACTTTATTTAATAGAAATTCTAACTAAAGTTAGAAATTCTTACTTATTTCTTGAAAAATTGCCTTATTAAAATAAAACTAATATTTTATTTTAGGTGGCCTTTCGGCGCTTTTGTAGTATCGTTTCATGCAGCTCAGTATTAATGTTAGACATCTTATTTTTATTTTTCAAGCAATTGTGCAACCGAAACTAATTTAGTAAATTATATATTTTTTTTCTACTTCCTATTTTAAAATACCCAACGGTACGTTTGTCAATTCTAAAGGTCACGTGTCACTTAGTTAATGTTTTACTAAAAGCCTAGCATGCAACACGTTGATAAAGTTTGTTAGTCATGGGTTTCATTTTGTACGAGCGGGGCGAGTGCTTAATAAACTAAATAAATGGCATTTATCAAACTTATTGAAAAGAAAAAAATAACTAACTAACCAACCTAACCCTATTATCTAAAATTACAATCGTGGATAGGAAAGGAAACCCATACTTCAAAACAACTCTTTAATATACTAAGAAAAAAATGGTAAAAAATCCTTAATGTTGCAGTTCTATTTCTCGACATCACTAACTCTTTCCCAATCGTCGTCAACACTCGAGTTACTACTGGGTGTATTTAAACTTAGGGTAGAATCAGTGTCATTTAACTTTTCTGACTTGTTTTCCTCACTTTTTTTTACTTTATCCACAATTTCTTTCTTAAGAAATCTCTCATCCTTAATGTCTTTTGTATTCAACTTTTTCTTCTCTTTAGTTTCGTTTTCATATTCTTCTAAAAGTTGAATTTGCTGTTCCTCTGTTAACTCAACATTTTCGGCAAAATCTTCTGCAACATAAGAATGAATCTGTACTTATTTCTTTTCCAACCAAAAATTTTCTATATCTCAGACGCGAGGGAAAACAATATACATTGCTTAAAACTGTGGTTTGGTAACCCACAGGTGTGCAATTTTCCTAATTTATCTGCGCAAACAAGTTATGAAGCCTTTGGTTTCAAAGCCAAAAATAATAAAAATTACCTTGCTCCCATGTCAAGTTTTGGTGATTTTTGTTCAGTGACTTTTCGTGATATTCCAACATCTCGCGTTTTTCTAACATTTCTTGCCTTGCCATTTCATCTTCTAATAAAGCTTTTTTGAATAGATACCTAAACAAAAATCACTGCTTATAATAATATTAAAGGCACTATAACACATAAAAAATACAATTTAATTTTGTAAGATATCTATTTATTGATTCTGTAATACACTATAACACTTGTAATAGTTTAAGAATTAAAGGAATAGGTTTTTTTCATAAACGCTTTTCGATTTTTAATTATGTGTCTATTAATAAGAACAAAAATTTTAGTCAAAGGTGCAAACTAATATAGCATATGTATCTGTAAGTAAACAAATAGAAAATATTACCAAGAATATCAGTACGGTCTGTCTGTGCAAAAAACAATCAACGAATTTTACTGGGTTTCAAATTCCCAAATTTAGATACTTTGGATTAAGTATCTCACTGAATATAAAGCAAAATTATCTACCACCTATCTATCTAAATAGACATATAGAGGGCGAGTCAATGATAGGGTAAAGCTCATTAACTAATAGGTTCCAAAAGTTATGAGAAAATGGTAAATGCGAAAGTTGTAAAGATTGTTAGGATGCACAATTTAAAATTATTTTACAGTATAAACTATACCTTTAAATTTTGTTTGAATTCATTCTGAAATTCTTCTAATTTTTTGCAATATTTTAATTTTTCTAAAAAAATACTAATTCCGCACTTGCAAAAAAAAATTTACGATAGTATTATAATATTTGGTATTAGTGTTATTCGAAGATGACGTATAAGATATATGCAACGGAATTTGAATTGAATGCTGAAGGGTAATCAAAATAAACAAACAACGAATTTTCAATTGAGAAAACTCAATTTTCTTAAATGGCATACCATATATATTATTATTTCTGAAAGATCTTACAAAAACCTACAACTTTTTTTAAGTATGTGGTATACCTATTTTTAATACTTTGCGATTTAATTTAACTTTTCCAGTATTTACCCTTCTTTTTAAAGGGTTTCAACTTGTGGTTTCAGCAAGGTGGAGCTCCTCGGCATTACTCGCAGAAATGGATCAGTAGAGGTGGATTCATTGGATGGCCTCCTCAGCTTAACACCACTCACTAGATTTATTTTTGTGGGTATATTTTAAAGGTCGTTTGGTCATGTTTATGCAAATACCCCTACAACACCAGGAGATATGGAAAATAGGATTCGGGACGCGTGCAGGAGAATAACAAATAGGAGGCCATATTTTTGAACATTCATTGCACCATAATAATTACAAATAAGATAAGTCAATTTCCTTTTTCTGTTAATTTAAAATTTAACTGTTATTTTCACCAAAATTGCTAATAACTGTCTGTTGCTTTATCTACGGCTCCAACAAAAATCTTTCTCCTATTCATTTTTGTCTTAGTCTTAGACAGAAAGAAGGGTCTATATTGGAAAAGTTAAAATAAAGTGCAAAGTATTAAAAATAAGTATACCACATACTTTACAAAAGTTGTAGGTTTTTGTAAGATCTTTTAGAAAAAATAGTAATATATAGATTTTTCAATTTAAAATGATCCAAATATATTCGATTATTTTGAACACCTTCTAGTATCAAATTCAAATTCCGTTGCATTTATCTTTTACGTTAATTTTCGAATAACGCTTATATTAAATATGGCGTTATTATATATTTTTTGCAAGTGTGAAAACTAGTTTTTTTTAGAAAAATTAAAATATTGAGAAAACTATTAGGGCTAGGTATGTATTATTAATATTATATTAATAAAATAATATAATATTAATATTAATAAAAACATTGAAGACCTTGAAAATGAATTGAAAATTAATTAAATTAATCAGACAATAAACTTTAGTATATCAATGACTCACCTTGTCTTCCTTGCTTAAAAGTTAGTAAGCTTTCAGTATATTTGAAGCATTCAGGAATTGTAATTTATCAAAATCGTCAGAACTTCATTCAAACATAAATGATCTCATTTTGTTAACAATAAACTTAAGTATCATGTAATTTAATAATAAACTGATACATCATAATTTTAATGAACATTTACCTTTTCCAAAATACATGATGCTCAATAATGTCTGGCACTAACTTTGCATATTGCTGCTTAAGAACTTCCGAACTGTTTACTTGTTTGACAATTTTGTCATCTGATAGTTGGTCATCAATAATTTCTAACCAGCAATCAAATTGTTTCTGTAGATGAGGCTCGGGATCGCAAAGGTAAGTTTCTGGATTTTTTTGCAGTTCATACAACAATTTCTGAAAAGAATCAAGGATATCAATCCCAAAAAATCAAATTTACCTATTGCTTTACCTGATACTTATTCAATTTTACTGTTTCAAAATTTTCAACCACAAGCATAGGTTCAGCATCACTATCATCAGGACTGGGATTTAGGACAGTATTCATTTGGCCTAAATGACAACAATTCGTGAAGAATTCAATTCAATCATGTGTGTATATCAGTTTTTGAAAAAAGTTGTTACTGTTTAGCATTCTTTGTGTTGGTAAATATTTCTAAGTCATTAACTTATAATAAAACTTGACTGAATTGAACTTACCTAGAAACATGCTGAAACTGCGCTTAACAGAACCAACTGCTGAGACTGGCGACTCCAGCTAAAAAGACTTGTGGTTTTATCATTTTTTATCACTATTTTGTATCATTTACACCTCATATGATCTATCTTGACGATGAAACAGTAATTGCTAGTTTCATTGGAACTTCTATTTAGTGTAGAAGGTTATGTGATTTATTTTCAATAAAATATGTGTTTATGAATAAAAACACTATAGATCAAATCAAGTTTTTCTACATTTGCAAATAAACAAAATCAATAAATTACTGAAAACATGTTTGCAAACCTCTCTCACAGTTAGGAGTAAGAAACTTCAGGTTACTGACAAAGCAAATAGATGATGCATACTCCTTGTAAAATTGGTGGCTCCCATAACTTTAAGTAAGCAAAATATTATATATTTTAAAAATTACTATTTAAAAATTTTTCGAAGAAACTTTCACAGGCTACTGTAATGCTTTTTACAAAACTTCTGGATTCCTCCGTCAGTCGGTTTTTGTTTAGTCGAAATTGCTGACGTTTCGCCAATCATCCTGTTGGCTTCTTCTTCTCCAGTTTCAGTCAAGCTCTGAAGAAGCCAACAGGATGATTGGCGAAACGTCAGCAATTTCAACCAAACAAAAACCGACGCAGGAGGAATCCAGAAGTTTTGTAAAAAGCATTAGTATTTAAAAAACATACACTCTTTAATTTAACTTTTATTTGAATCTTTTAAATATTCTTAATGACTAGGATTCGATCCTACAGCAACATGTTATGATCTTGCTACCATTTTCCAGTTAATGGGAGTGAAACCAAATACGGGATTTTGTATAGGTGCAGACACATATTTTGGTACCAAACAATGGATGGGATTTTCGTTATAGAGAATATCATCAAAATCAAAAAATGTGGTGTCGCATATTACCTATCAATATGAGATATACTTGATTTTACACTAAATTAGCGACCAGAATAGAAGCGCCGCGTTGAATTTAATGACAATGACAGATGACAATTTGCCTGAAATTTTATTAACTAAAATTCAGGCAAGACCACCTTTGTGGAACACTTAATTTTCGTCATACATGCTAGATAACTGAATTTTATAACAGAAACTCCCATGTATCGAAGGAATCTGTCATGACATATTTTCAGTTTTCAATAAAAAGTGTCAAACTTTATCTATTTCTTCTCTTACACTCCTGTTTTCTAACTTATACTGGAAATGCAATGGCAATGATCTTTTCTTAGAAAAGGAAATGCCTCTAAATTTCACACACTGCAGATCTGCTACATCTAACCAAAAACCTATCCGATTAAGAAAACTGTCAGCAGCCATGTTGATTGTTGACTGCACATGCGCAGATTGAACAGACATTTAAAAAATATACATATCCTGGCTTCCCTATACTATCAGCATAGGCAGGCCCACTTATATATTTAGAAACTCTATGGTTTCTAGGAACAAGCAAACTGCGTTCGTTGCTGACATTTTCAATACTAAAAAACTCATCATTGGTAGTACTTGATGGCTACTTCTTTGAAACCTTTAACGCAACTCTAATAAAACGCAAACGCGACGCATCACTGCTACTCTGATTGCTATTTTATAAGTAACATTGGCAAAATATGCTGACTTTGATCAGTGTACACAAGGATATTGGTAAATAACTACTTCGGAATAGATACTTAAAATTTATAAGAATTTAGACTTTTTGGAGAATATGAAAAAATAAAAAATTGCATGCAAAGTTAAGATTGTAAAAATAGAGAATAAAATAAAAAATAAACCTATTTAAGAAATTATGTTCCCAAAAACAGAAAACATCCTCTGTTTAACTAGTTTCTAAAGAGAATATTTACATTTAATGTCTTTTCCACAACTGTTCCTGCAGAAGACACAACATTTGATGCTTCATTTTTTACCACAGAGCTAAACTCCTCTAAATCCTTTTTGACAAATTCAAAAACTTCAGAGCTCTGGAAATACAACATTCAAAGTAACAATTACACCATCTGCATATTATCACCTTATCTTTTGCAGCCTTCAACCATGATCCAAACCAAGTGTCAGTTCTGAAAGAGGATAGTTATTGGGAAATCATAAATCAAATTTGAAAAAAAAAAGACAAATATGGTTCACAAAGTGGGTTATTACCACAGATTTTAGTCCGTGAATTTGTATTTACTTACTTTTCTTCCATATTCGGATAATCTAATATACCATTAAATGGAAGTACGAGAATTTTTTTCTATAATAGCCAATTTACTTTTTGTTTCGAATTGTTTATTAATCAACATCAACACCTTGTCAAATTTAAATGGTGACAACCACAGAATACTAAGGTAAGTTGTGACAATCATAGAAAGAGCCTTTCCTTAACATGGGCACGTCAACCAAGGACATTCGCCCATTTCCGACTACCGCCGAGGAATGCTCCTAAAAGTCCACACAATTTTTAAATAGGGCAGTTACATTACTCACCATGCACAATAAAGTCTATTTTAAAGTGCCACTAAGCAGTCTCAAATTTATGCACACAAGTCTATTTACAAGCGTTTATCACATGCACTAATAAAGTTACATATAGCCCTGGCAACGCGTTCCAAATTATTCACAAAAAATATAGCAGGTACCAAGGAAATAGGAGAGGGAACATGGGAATTAATCAGGTCTATATAAAGGGATTGAGAGTAATTCCGATGCTTCACACAATCAAAAAATATGTGATTGAGGTCTCCTACTTCTCCGCATTCAATCATAGAAGGAAGAACTTTCTACTTTGGGGATTTTGTCGTGAGCATTGCATATGTCGGTTTAACTTCCGTTCAATCCGGGGCCGGCAGAAACCTGTGTATTGATCCTAAAAGCTATGATATCCAATCGCTTTTGTTTTCAAAATATTTCGTGAGCGTTATGCAGTGAGTGTTGCCAGTACAGTTGTTTTTGCCAAACGCTCCGGTCAAAGGCCAACTGGTCCCGAATAATCCTTGGTGGAAACTTTTTTTTTTGCAACCACAGTACAAGCGTTAGAATATTTACTTTTTGTGTACGTGTTACTCTGTGACTAAAAGGAAAAAATAATGGGCTGATAGAAATGGGCGAATGTCCTGGGTTTAGTTGCTCAGTTCTTCTTCTTCTTCTTTTACTTCTTTTGGCCAAGACTGCTAGTTGCACAATTAAAGCGGAGTAGGAAGTCCGTCTCAATGCCCAGTAACAACAGATTCGAAGAAGACGAATTAAAACTGCAATCAGCAATCGTTCGAAACTGCCGGTGAGTGGGTGCTTATATTGCGTTCATTTTTATGGACTATTATTTTCGTTTTGGTTGCAGTATCTTTGGTAAGGTAAGGCATTTTAATGAAATAATATTATTTGCGCCAAACCGCTACAACTATATAATAATAAATTTAATAAGCCAGATAATTTACATGACCATATTTGCTAAATTTTCACAAAGATTTAATTATTAGCAGTAGTATACACGTTTTGCTTAAAATTAGGAAGTAAATATAATATGTTTTTCTTTATAAATCAATTCAAAATATAAGCCGGAACTAGTGCTTGAAGTAAATTGTAATTTTGTGACAGTTTTTTTTATTAAATTTAAGTACCTGTTCTACTTACTGAAAAGCAGTGTGCTTTATATATAAAGTGAGTAAACATAGGTTTTCTTTTTAGATTATTTCTTTAAATGTCGCCAAAGAAACTTGGAAGGAAGGGCCAAGGAGACCATAGTCAGTGAAGGAAAATTGTGGCCAATGTATCGAATTTTGGCATATGGAAGCAGAAGGATTAAGTATTCCTTTAAAAAACCAGAGGTAAATAATTTTGTTTCTTTATGTCAGATGTAATTAAAACATCCATATCTTAAAATTTGTTGGCTTAAAATAATATATGTATACTTTTCAGAGAACATAGTTTGGCAGTTACAAAGGTTTCCCCCTCTATTTACAAAGGGATTTTAAAAGAAACGTCAAAGATTGCAGACAACCTCAGTTGCTCATACAGCCCTCCACAAAAAATACGTCCCAGAGTTTCTAGAAAACTCGACTTAATTCCTAGTCAAATAAAATATATTGGGGAACTGGTTTATAATTTTTGTATAGTGGAGAAAAGAAGACTGACTCTTAAATGTAACACATTAAATTTGCTGCTATGCTTGAATGCTTAAAACTGACTGTGTTTTTTTTAGTAATCTTGGAAAAACTAGAATAGCAGTCAGTAATTCGTGAGCCCATAAGCAAAGCGTCCATTGGGAGACTATTAAGACAGATTGGATTCAGGCAATTAAGTACAAAGTTTCTCCAAGTTTGTTGTTATATCAAATTTCAAGAACTGCATTAAATTGTTTGTACTGGTAAAGAACAACTGAGAAATTTAGTTAATTCTAAAACTATTGCAAAGGCATCATCGATAATTTTATTGGGAATTGCATTGGGTAGTAAATATCAGACAACAGAATATTTTATTAGTATTCATAATATGTAAAAAAAATATATTTTCGAGGGATTGACCTTTATTCATAAAAAATGGTATTCAACTTTTTTTTTGTAGATTGAGGAAGACTGATGAATAGAATAGAAAAAACTAATGGAATCACATGACATTCAATTAAAAAGGGTCAAATTCAAAGAAGGAAGGTATATTGTCTACACTGATGAAACATACATTTATAGTGGACACACGTCTGATAAAAGGATGGTTTGATGAAAGAGATTATTTTATTAAAAACCCAATTTTAACTAATTTAAAACACATTTTAGGTTCAAAGAGTGGTGATTACCATGACGACATGAACCATGCGAATTTTATGCTGTGGGTGGAAACTAAGTTGCTTCCCCGCAATTTACCTCCTAGATCTGTCCTAGTGGTAAATAATGATTGCTATCATAATGTGACAGTCTCAAAAAATATAACTTCTGCAACGATGAAGCAGAAAATGAACCAATGGCTCCAAAAAAAAAACATTCCTTTTCACAAAAACATTAGCGAAACCCGAATTATATGATTTAATTTTCAAAAATAAGTTTAAATACCCAGCCAAATATAAACTCAATGAGGTATTGGAACTTATGCGATTACCACTGAAGTTATTATATGTCTTTCATTATGAAAATTTGCTTACTGGCCAGTAAAATTACACTTTCGGGACTTAAGTAAAATACCTATTTCCATTCGATTAAATAATTTAATATTTTTCCTGTCTTTGGTCGGTAATATACTACCCCGTTAAGCTGAAAAATCCTATCAGACTTTTGGAAAGTTTTGGAGATATTGACGACTTGTTTTATTTTTGACAATGTACCTACTTGTACATTCTTTGCAATAAATAATTCCTGGTTTTTTATGTACGGAAAAAAATCTCTATAAAAAGGAAATATTGTAGCCTTAGAAAATCTGATAATTCGAAGTGAATAAACCAAACTAGTTAAAAGTACTTTAGTTGACAAAAAAATAAATATACAAAATAACTTTAAATTACAAATAGCAGTTTGCAAAATGGTTGCTTATAATAACATTTCTAAAATCATACAATACATTCTGATGAAAGTTGGTAGCAGGTACTTTCCCTTGGTCAATTAAACATTGTAAATCCTCAGCATTTATGCCTAAAGGAGGAGGTGAAACATCATGTATTGTTAAGGCAATATTGTGCAGCACTGCTGTAGCAATCGCACTTAATGCATTATTAAGACGGTATTGAAGTCCAAAACAGACAGCTGGAAACCTTTTAATATGTACTATAATTGCTCGTTCGATGCAGTTGCTTGTAGGAATATGGGATTCATTGAACAGCTGCTCTGCATATATTAAAGGATTCCCAAATGGAGTAATTAAATATGACCTTAGTGGGTATCCACTATCACCTAGAAATCATGATAAATCATACACAAACATTATCAAGAATTTTTAAAGATAAAGATAGCTTTATTTCCATAAAACTTGAGTTACAAGTGTTGGATATTGTTAGTATAACACGAATATAAACTTACCAATTGGGGTTCCATTTCCAAATTTACCAACTTCAAATCTTGTTCTTAATCGGCTATTGTTAAAAATTGTGGCATCATGGACAAATCCTGGCCAACGCGCTACAATGTTTCTTATTGTGAAATACTTCTGCATCCTCACAACCTATAAAACAATACATATTATCAATTTAAATTTAACTGAAATAATTGCTTAATATTAAGCACTCTTTAACAAGGCTTAATTACCTGGACAACAAATTTTAATATTTGTTCCACACATCCTATAACACCAGAAAATATGCAATTTTATAAAATTAAGTTTGAACAGACAGTATTTTCTCAGGTGTGTCAGGCATTGTAATGATTTGATTTCTTAATGGTTTCCGAAACTTTGGTAATTACTCCTAATATTGTCCATAATGTCCCCAAATGTTTACTAGATGAGCACTATTTGCATAAAATAATAGTGCAGTCAAGAGTTGATTAATTGGGGACACACTATGGTTTCCAAAATTAAAGTGAAATGTTAATTATATATATATTTATATTTATATATATATATATATATATATATATATATATATATATATATATATATATATATATATATATATATATATATATATATATATATATATATATATATATATATATATATATATATATATATATATAAATTAGTTTCACAACTGGAGATAAATAACAATTGATGAGCCTTTTAGTTTGATTAATTTCCTTGTATCCCTTTTTCCAGATTTTATAAATAAGCTAAATTCTTGCACTTGAAGTACTGCACCATAATCTATACCTACAGATCATTATCAAATTCCAGCTTATTCTCTATCATTTGAAGAATGCATATAATAGCTGGTTCTGTAAATTTAAATCGGCAAAAGAAACTTAGATGATCTATCCTAATAATATGGTGTGTTGTAAATATGTCTTGGAAAACTAAAGGCCACTATATCTAAGATTTCTATGTTCAACACAAATTTCATCTTCTATTTCCATATTTATGGATTTCTTTTTTACAATTCAGTTAGCATGTGAGAACGTGACAAATGCAAATAATAAAAAAATCGGTTATGTCATCTAATAAGCCAGGCTTAAAAATCTAAGACGCCAAAATTGGGGGTTTAATTTTAAGCGAGCTTAGGTGTTCATTTACCGCCGCTGCAATAAGTTAAGCGGGCTTACTCTTTCTACAAACGACGAATATGGCCCTAATTATCCTTGGTGTTTAATTCTCTAATTTGGCCAAATGATGCTTGTAGTTTTACCCAACAGCTGTTATTCAAAAAAAAAAAAAATTGAACAACCATCTGTGGTCTGTGCCATATAGAAGATATTCATTTAAAATTTACATTAGTTGTATTTTTTTCTACCGTTGCGTTGTCAAGGACAATGAGCCGCAAAGAAGCTTTATCGTCATTCATTCAGCAAATTCACGCTAGACCTGTAGTTGTAAAGTTAAATAGTGGAGTTGATTACAGGGGTAAGTGCCACTGTGATGTTTTCTATTTATTACTCCAATATCCAAAATAAGGGAATTTTGGAATTTCAACTTGATATACCTATTTTAGGTGTACTGGCATGCCTAGATGGTTACATGAACATCGCCTTGGAGCAGACTGAAGAGTATGTAAATGGACAATTGAAAAATAAATTTGGAGATGCATTTATAAGAGGGAATAATGTATTATATATTAGCACGCAAAAAAGAAGATATTAGGCTCTTTTTTGTTGATTAACAAATAAAAATTAATTTTATAAAAAGATAATTTTTATTTTCCTTACTTTTACCACTTCTATACATTTATAAATTCGGTATAAAATTGAAATAAACAAATTTTTGACTTATACACATTTGCACAGACAAAATGTTATCTAATTATTAACTTTTGATCACCATTTCCTTGAATACTCTGTGCGACATGTATTGGAGCTGTGGAATACAATCGAATTGGCAAACTCCAAACCATTGTTTCAATTGGTACTTCTGAAGGAGCACGCCAGTAGTTGTCATCAAGGACTGGTGCATTAAGGCCTTTACTTGTACTTGTTACAAATTCAAAATGAAGCCTCCATTTTAAAGTCACTGCAAACATATGTTCTCAAGATAGAACAATCTAATACTTTTTACAAAACTTCTGTAAGTGCTTGACTCAAAAACTAAAGAAGCCAACGGAATGATTGGTGAAATGTTAGCAAGTTCGACTCAAAAACAGAGAGTTTTATAAAAAGTATTACAGTTGCTTGTGAAAGTTTCTCTGAGCAATAAATATGTGAAAAGTTGTCCCTGTATGGATCTATAAAGAGATTTCTAGTATTATAATTCACAATTAAGTGTGGTGAATAATAATAAGTAGCAGTTGTAAACAATAGTAAAGTAGAAGTTGCAAATTAGTACTTTTGTTGCCCTGGAGTATAAATTAACATACCTAAATCAGTACCAAATGCTGGAGTTACATGCAATGGGATTGGCAGAACCAATTGGGTGTACTTGTAACCAAAACAAACTTCATGATATTTGCTAAATGTAATTATTCGGATTTGTTTTGATTGTTCAGTGTTTCGAATAATTGTTTCTTCCTCACATTGTAAAGATACTGATACCTGCATGCAACTAACTGTTGCAACAGTAAAATCAAATGTACCTGAAAATAACTAATTCCCTAACAGTGCCATCATGTCATATCAGAATTGCCTTGATTGTCTTTTGTTTTAATCCTCTGTTCTTTCAACTTACCAATAATATCTTCTCCTAGCTTGTAGGCAGGTTTAAATAAACAAAATCTTGCTACTCGTCCCCATGTGTTCGAGATCATGTAAAAGTTTGGATTACGTCTGGCTGTTATGTTCTGTAAATTAAGGCAGATGTAAAATCTACATACCCCCACAATGTTTTTCACCTGCAAACTCTGCAAAGCTAGATCAATGGGTTTTTCTCTGTGGCGTATTTCCAAAAATGGATTGGTGGGGGTTAATTCTTCTATAGTTTCATTACAGAAAGCTCCTCCTTCACTCAGAACAGTTTCTGGTAAAGGTAAAACTCTAATGTGAAGTCTTGTCAACTTCACTGGACAATTTACTTTTTGAGTTCCTATTACTATTTTATATGAATATTTTACAAGTTGTCCTCTGTAAGATGGAGGTGAATCTGTTGGAATCTTTTCTTTGTAAACAACTAAAACAACCACGTGTTTAAACAAATGAAAAAAAGCACACCCTGCACTTACAAGTTTTGGTTTGACCTGGGCACAACCTCAAGTCACAAAAAAGTATTTTAGGTTTTGTGGAAAAAACAAGTTTCGCATTTTCCCCCGTTAGAGTTCCCAATGATGTATCTGCCAATGCAATTGGAGAATGCTTATTGACTCCCTTATCTTTTAGGATTTTGGTATCAGTAAAACACTGGCAGTGAATTTGAGCAGAAGCCCATGCTAAACATTCAAAAACATCTGTGTGAGACTGTGAAACTTTATGTGAGGGCGTAACTGGGTGGCTAAAGGATATGATGCACTCGATAAATTCACCCGAAAGAAAAACATGTCCTCGCAATAATTTGGCTCTAACTTCAATCATTTCGAAATATCTGCATCACTACTAATTTTAATAACAATAAAAACAAAACTATAATTCTACACTCTCAATAAATATCTCTCCCACTCATAAATAATTGTTCACTCGCTCTTCCATAGGTCTCACTCAGCGGACGTAGCAAAACACTCCCCATACGTAGCATTAGCGATTGCGATTGGGAGCGTGCTGGGCATTTAAATCATAGACAACTATATTATATTGGTTGGTATGTTTGAATTTATAACGCCGTAGCGAAAACGTCCGGTGGCACATGCGCTACAAATCCAACATGTGGAGTGGACGCCATTTTTAGTAGCAAGTTTATTTTGTGCTAGGTAACGGTAACGAAGTAACCGGTATTGGCAACCTTTGGTCTTGAAAGAGGAATTTGGTTAGTTAGTTAGTTTGGACAGTGATGGTGAATACGAAATTCCAGCATATATATATATATATATATATATATATATATATATATATATATATATATATATATATATATATATATATATATATATATATATATATATATATATATATATATATATATATATATATATATATATATATATATATACTTAAGAAATGGTTCTTGGGTTTTTTTTGGTCCTTTTTTAGTGAAATTAAAATAAGTTTCCGTTACTTGTGAAACATTTTATTTTTTGTGACGTTTCGGCCTTCAAGACCTTCTTCAGACATTTAATTTTAACCTACAAAAATGTGTTTTTAAATAAAATTATTTATAGCATTGTTTGCCTGGTCATAATTAAAACATAGATAAAAATTTGTATAGGAGTCAGCATTGAAATGATTAAAAATTACTAGTGCAAGTCAATAGAATAAACAAAGTGATTAAAAATTGCATAAAAATAGATGCACAACAATAAAACATACATAATTTTTATATTACGATTACATACATACCTTAAGCCAAAAATCAACGGTTCACTATATAGTTGTTTGGTAATTTACAGTTTTACAACATTCACAACAGATATATTGAATATGTAAATCGACAAGCCACATTGATAAGACGACGAACCAAAACAATAATGCGAAGCCCGGATGTACGTTTGTTCACAGTAGGACAACGGAGTTTTTTTTTTTTTTCTAAAGCTTTTTTTTTTGTTTGTGTGAGATTCACGGGTTAATGTGTCTCTTTATTTAATTAAGTTGTGATAAATTTTGCTGAGATTTTTTGTGTCAGTCTTAGAGTTTATAGCGTTTGGATTTTTTTGGATCTCAATCATTTCATAAAATTCCCGTCTTTTTGTGTGCCTTTCTGAGCGTAAAATTTTCACACTTTGAAAGTCAAACGAGTGCTGATTCTCCCTGGAATGGCTCGAAAGAGCAGTGTTATTTTTTTTGTCATATTTATGGCCGTTTAAGCGACTTTTTAAGTATTGACTAGTTTGTCCGATGTAGACACCGTTACAATTTTGGCACGGTATTTGGTACACCACGTGGCTTTTTTTCTCGTCAGGGATTTTTGATTTTAATTTACTAAAGTTTTGTGCTAATAGATTATAACCTTTGTGTGCCACAGTAAGGTCGTGTTGTTTGAACACATTGCACAAATTTTCCGATAGCCCTGGAACGTACGGTAATGGGAGATATTGTTTTTGAGTATTTTTCTTCTCGGATTTGTTACCAGCATTTTGATTGTAAAATTTATGTATCCGTTTATTGAAAATTTTATTTATTAATACATCCGGATAACAGTTTAATTTTAGGGCTTGTTTTGCTTTTTTAATAGCTTGCTGTCTGTACTCAGGATCGGACAGTTTAATAGCTCGGTCGGCTAAACCTATTATTACGGATTTTTTTTGGGTGATGGGATGTTGGGAGTTGAAACTTACATACCTAGATGACCAAGTATCTTTGGTGTACCATTTGGTTTTGATGTGATCTTTGCTGTGGTATAGAGTCAGGTCTAGAAAGTTAATGACGTTATTTTTTTCGATCTCTATTAAAAATTGAAGTTTGTCGTTGTATGAATTAAAATTCTCTAGAATATCATCGATTTCAGTTTTTGGGACAGCACTTACGCAGTCATCGACATAACGATAAAATAGGGGGATATGAAGATTTATATTTTTTAGTACGGATTCTTCCAAATCTTCCATTACTAACTGTGCAATAACACTGGAAATCGATGCTCCCATTGCACAACCATCGACCTACCTGTAATATTTGTCATTGAATAAGAAATAGGTTGATGTTAATGTTAATTCTACAGCTTCAAGAAAGTGATTTAACGGAATATCTGTGAAATGTTTAATTTTTGGCCATTTTTTCTTTATTATATCTTTAGCTAAAGGGATGGGAATATTTGTGTATAGAGAAATGACTTCTAACGAGATCAAAACATAGTTTTCAGGTATTCTGACATTTTTTATCTTTTCTTTAAAATCGAAAGAGTTTTTGATGTAATATTGATTTTGATTTATAACGTTTTGTAGTATATTTTTAAGGAACTTTGACAATTTTTCACAAGGGGATTGAATGCATGACACTATGGGTCTTAGAGGTACGCCAGGTTTATGTAGTTTAGGCAATCCATAGATTCTAGGAGGTAGTGCATTCTGTATTTTAAGATTTTTGGCTATATTCGGTGAAATAAAAAGTTATTTTTCCCATTTTGATACCAGATCGTTATTTATTTTTTGGAAAATGTTTGTAGGATCATTATACGAGAAAAAAAGCCACGTGGTGTACCAAATACCGTGCCAAAATTGTAACGGTGTCTACATCGGATAAACTAGTCAATACTTAAAAAGTCGCTTAAAAGGCCATAAATATGACAAAAAAAATAACACTGCTCTTTCGAGCCATTCCAGGGAGAATCAGCACTCGTTTGACTTTCAAAGTGTGAAAATTTTACGCTCAGAAAGGCACACAAAAAGACGGGAATTTTATGAAATGATTGAGATCCAAAAAAATCCAAACGCCATAAACTCTAAGACTGACACAAAAAATCTCAGCAAAATTTATCACAACTTAATTAAATAAAGAGACACATTAACCCGTGAATCTCACACAAAAAAAAAAAAGCTTTAGAAAAAAAAAAAAAACTCCGTTGTCCTACTGTGAAGAAACGTACATCCGGGCTTCGCATTATTGTTTTGGTTCGTCGTCTTATCAATGTGGCTTGTCGATTTATATATTCAATATGTCTGTTGTGAATGTTGTAAAACTGTAAATTACCAAACAACTATATAGTGAACCGTTGATTTTTGGCTTAAGGTATGTATGTAATCGTAATATAAAAATTATGTATGTTTTATTGTTGTGCATCTATTTTTATGCAATTTTTAATCACTTTGTTTATTCTATTGACTTGCACTAGTAATTTTTAATCATTTCAATGCTGACTCCTATACAAATTTGACCAGGCAAACAATGCTATAAATAATTTTATTTAAAAACACATTTTTGTAGGTTAAAATTAAATGTCTGAAGAAGGTCTTGAAGGCCGAAACGTCACAAAAAATAAAATGTTTCACAAGTAACGGAAACTTATTTTAATTTCACTAAAAAAGGACCAAAAAAAACCCAAGAACCATTTCTTAAGTATATATATATATATATATATATATATATATATATATATCTTGTTATTATTTATATTATCATAAGTATTTACAAAATTTACAACAAAAAATTGTCAGGGTACCAACGGGAAAGGTTTCTCGAAAACCCCTCGACTTTTCGAAGATGGTATCAAGGTATATCTTTTTTCACTTTTTAAACTCAAAATACACTCACAGGAAATGGAGATGCAATTTTAAGTTATTTGCAGAATGTATTTCCACTAAACTGAAGAAATATTGGATAGGAAATGCAGAAACCTGAAAAAAAACTACACAGGCATCAAAGACAAAATAGGGAAAACTGGAAGGGGTAGAATTTACTAGGAATGTTATCACCAGGTTGATGAAATACATAGGGAGGACAAAACAGTTAACCTCCCTAACCTAATAACCTTGACAGCAGTTCCTGTTATAAGGAAAGCCCCCCCTGCCAAAAATAAGAAAGGCCCACCCGCTATCCCAGTGATTTAGCACATGGAAACCACCCCAATCAGAGCAACACCTGTGTCCCCGCCACAGGTTAGGTTTCAACAATTTTTTTTATTGGTATAATTAAAAAAATCAAAGACTTGTAACATGTTTTCATTTTAGAAGTACCAAGACTAGGGGTCAAAGAGTGGAATATGTTATTTCTATGAAGAAGGCTGACAAATATTGAGGAAGCTCGAGTACAAGAAATTAACCTCTTACTAAATGATATTGAAAAAAGCAAGAATATGCAAGAGGAAAGAAATAAAATTTTGCACTTATGTGAATTAAAAAAAAAGAGCAATAATTCAAAAACATATTTTTATTTGTTAAAATGCTATTTGGATCCTCCTTATTTCCACCTTCATCTGCAATATCTACTTCCATCTGTGGTAGTTCCTTTTCTAGCACCTTTTCTAAACATATCAAATGTCTCGCTGCTACGAAACATGCTAGATGTGGTAAAGTCTAAAATAGACCTCCTTTAACCCTACAGAAGTGGCGCATTATCTTGTGTCACAATTAGTGGCGCCAAGTCTCACAGACCCATCCTGAAAAAAAATATTTAAGATATTTTTTTGACAAAAATAATAACAAATATGTATTAACTATTTATTTAAGTATAAGAAAAAAAATATTTATCTTCAACATACGAAATTAAAACATATTCCTTCAAATGCAAAAAGAATAAGAATAAAATTCACTTAAAAAAAACACTTTAAGTATGAAAATTACAAACCTAATTAGCTAAATCTACCAACATAGTTGAAATTTTGTTTTTTATTTGTTTTCCAAAGACTCGACGCAAGGAGCACACCAAGCTACGAGATGAAACAAGCATACAAATTTTTTTATAGAAAAAATATCTTTTTCGAGTTCCTGGAATAATTTCCTGTTGTGGTTGGATATTTGTCGAAGTTCCAGCATAATCCTGTATTCTGTCTCGTACAGCTCTTTATAAACACCATGAGATTGCTGTCCTACATAAACCTCTGAATTAGCGCAGTATGTCGTAGCAGCATCAACCAAGACAAAAAATCTTTATTCCATATTTATTGGGATTACTTGCTTGCTTAAGCTTACTGCTTAAACCCACAGCGTCCTCGAAGAGCCTCAAGTTAATCAGCAGCACAACATACAAACACTGAATAGGATAAACCTTCGAAAAAATCTAAATGTCAATATCAACAACACCCAACAATAATAAGACACCATAACCTCTAACCTCTACATACACGTTCCCAATCGGTACCGCTACGTATCGGGAGCCCTTCGCTACGTTCCCTGAATGCGACCAATGTGGTAAATTTTCTTTAGTGAAGAAGAGAAAAAAAAGTTCATAATTTAAATGTGTGGCTGGTTACGATGATTAATAATGTTAAGTATTTTAAGAAGGTTCGATCAAACCCGGAAAAGATTATTCCTCTTCATCTGGGTCAGTTCTGTATTTTTTGCACTCTGGCGTTTTAGCAGGGTTACACAAACTTGTAGGTATATTACGTGCTACCATATATTACAAGTGTATTTCGTTTGTGTTTTTCTTTACAGTTTTTATGAAATACACTGATGATTATGGCGATTTTGAACCAGGGTGGTTGATTTTAAATTCTCATAAAAAGGACAAATCAGATTTTGAATGGGAAACAATATCTTTTTTATTAAAAACAAATTATGTGCACATAATTGTATATTTAGTTAGTTTTGAATGTTTAAGAGTTTCCCACATTAGTGAAAAGGTAAGATATTTAATCCTGGACATGTTAATAGATAATCAATTATTTATTTACTGTTGTGCCCAATAGAAGTCATTACTAACCATCTGGTTCCTCACTGTACTATTATAAAAAAGCTTTTCAAAAATTATATCTACAGTAAATATATAAGAAGAAAACAATCACAGAAATTATTGTCTAGAAACAATACATGCACATGCAAGGAATCTTAAGTAACTTTATTGGAAACCACAATTAAAATATTCTCTTAAGGAATAGAAACTGTTTTAACTAATCAATAATTTTAAAGGGCTATACTATGGACCATATTTTGCTTATATTTGAACAGGGTGGCTCTCTAACAAATTTACATACGAAATTTATTTTATTTACCAAAGTAAGTGTATTCCTCTAAAATATATAGTTGCCCCATAGAAGAATTTAGTGTAGAAAAACTACCATTTAATTTTGAGACTCTACCTTCATATAAATTACCTAATGTAGTTCCCACCTCTAACTTAAAGGAGATTAAAATGACTGCTAATATTAAATAACTATTAGGAGAAATATGGAGTAATTCTCAAATTTAAAGATCAAAAACTGGTAGGGAATGGGTAAATGTTTTTTTTATATGCTGATTTTTTTATGTTTATTTTTATTATTATTTTTTTTAATCTAAAATTTTAAAAAATTCTAACTTATATAATCTTCAAGCATTAATAATTAACTCAACTGCAATTATTTTTAATACCTATGAAACATTGCAAGCTTGTTGGCCCTGTGTTTTAGTTGATTAAAATAATATTTATGTTATTTATTTTAGAGTCTACAATATTTCCAAATAACTTTTTCGGTGATGTATTTATTTTCGCAAATGGGCTACCTATTGACCTGGATTTTGTTGATCCAACCAATTACATTTATCATAGTTGGTGCACTGCATAGCAAATTGTGTATTTGGATTTGCAACCTGACATTCATAGGACTAAGTGCTGTCTTCAAAAAAATAAATTCAGATGAAACATTTTTAAAGCAATATAGAATTAACCACTATGAAACTTACATTAGTATATTGATATTGAGTTGGATGAATCTCAGATGTACAAGTTATTACTTAACTACTTCAAAAGAAGATATTAGAAAGTTCTTAGCATATTGTTTATACTTTCCTACAATGTGCACAGGACCATTCCTATCATTTAAACATTTTGATGGAATGTATTGCAAAAAATTTGAACCTATTGCGATACGAATAAAAAATCTGATTTTAAACATTTTGAGGTGTCTTATATGGTTTACCTTTGGAGAGATATGTTTGCATTATATTTACGTTAATGCTACAGGATTTCAACCAGAGGTAAGTTGGTAGTACATCTTCACCATCTTCATCATATTTATTTATTTATTATTAAAATTGAAAAATAGGTGGAGGCTTATAGCTTATATTATTATAGAAAAATTAACAACTTACAATACAATACAAACGGATGCCTTTGTCTATAAACATTAATTTTCTGCTTCTTACAGCTTTCTACTTCTAATATGTTAGTTCAAAATGCAAGTGCTTAGGCGAGTTACTTTGTTAAGGTGGCGCCGTTTCTGCTATCAATTGTAAATTTAATTAGAAGGACCAAAAAAAACATTCTTCAAGTTTCATCTGTCTGCCACTTTTCTTATATCACAGAGAAGTTGAGTTAATTTTGTAAACCGCATATTTGACAATATAAAACTAACTATGGTAAAATGAACCTGCTTGTTCTGAATAATAGTTTAATTATTTACTTTAATAGTTGTTTATTCTTAGTTAGAATTTGTCTTTATAAACACATCACAGGATATATCTGCGATATTTATTACCTTAATGAATTAATTATCTTATTTAATTCATTTTCAGAGAGTTGAATATCATAGTTACTTTACACAAAAGAAGGATACGTAATTATTATTACTAAATTATTTAAATATAAATATTAAATAAATAAATTATTAAATTATTATTAAATCCTAGTCTTATTTTCTGATTTTAAAATGGTATTATAAACTTGACATTTTTTTAATTGAGTGCAATTTTTAGTTTGTAAAACAATTTGATATGTGGACTCTTTGTGGGTATGGATATGCAATGGGTCAGTTTTTCCATTTAAAATATATTGTGATTTATGGGCTAAGTACAAGCATTGCTTCTTTCGAAAATATCACTACACCTAGTTTGCCTAGATGCATTGGCAGGATTCATCTGTACTCTGAAATGTGGAAATATTTTGATCCGGGATTATACGATTTTCTGAAAATGTAAGGTTTTGATATATCTCAAAAAACAGTTTTTAAAACGAAGATTTATTTTTTTTCAGGTGTATATATATCCCTTTAAGACGATTCCATCTGAACAAATTTCTGTCTTCATTGTTATGTTTTTCGTTTATATTTATCTGGCATGGAATTGCCCAACACATTTTTATTTGGGTAGTTGCAAATTTTATTGGTATCAATTTAGAATCTTTGGCAAATATTATTTATGAGTCTTGCTTAAAAAATACCGAAATTGTAAAAAGTTTAGGCTCAACCAAATTGCAAATTTTGAAAAACCTTTTAGCATCACCATTGTTAGCTGCCTCTGCCGTTTCAAATTTTTATTTTTTTGCTGGAGTTGATATAGGATATATTTTTCTTCAAAGTTTTTTAACAGGTTAGTATGTTTGGTTTGTAATATGTTTAAATTTCCGAGCTGGAGGTGGTTACTTTCAACAGTTTTTGTATGATAAATATGAAGTTATTTTTAGTCAAATTGTTGGCAAATATTATTGGATTGCGGTTAAATATTTTTATGGTTTTTTTTATCTTGCAAAAGAAATCAAATATGAGAAACATTCAAGAGACGAAAAAATGTAGGTTCAGTATCAAAATTAAATTAAAGTCAGTGGCGACATTTTTATCAATAAATTTTAAGTTTTCTCCCCACCCACCAAACACCTCTGTTTAAGTTTTATTTAGTTAGAGCCAAATCGGCCCCTTACCACTAGAAAGGACGCTGAAAAATTTAACATTAACATTAAAGAAACTGTACACCCTGTATCTTGGAAACAATGCATTTCCAGATCTATATTTATGGGATTTTTACATTTTTGAAAAACTGCACAATGTGCCGAGGTAGTACTTACCCACAGTTTAGTTGTATTGTCTTAACTATAAGTTTTGGATTGATTTTTTATATTCAACTTTTAATATAACCTATGTTTAAATCGGTTTTATATTTTGACTGTTTTATTTGTCTAAAACGCGATCAATTGTACAAAGTCTTTTTTATCTATGAGATTTTAACATAAAAACCTTCCAAAAAAATTGAAATAATAAAATTAAAATGTCAAAAGACTATTCTTAACCACTGATGATTAATGTATTTTTATAATTAACATTGTCTTGCCTCCTAATGCAAAATTTTGTTGCAGAGACTTTTTTCAACAAAATGGTGCTGTTGTCTATATTGTATTGCTGTTGTGAAGTATCCATTAGTTTGAGAGACATGAAAGCGAGAAGTTTGTAACTTAAACCGAGGTCAATAATTTTGTTTACTCAGTGTAAAAACACAAAATTATAACTATAGGACACTTTGCAATTAAAGCGAATAAAGAGAATTCATATTGTATACTTATTTTTATAGCAAGAGATGCTAGCCTTCAACATTGCTTTTGCAAAATAGTCTTGACAACGTTGTCCCTATCTAAAAAGCACTTAAGATATTCAAAGTAAAAAAGAAATTCTCAAATTAAATTGATTCGATTTTCACTTGCACCATCATAAATATTTGTTAGCTTTCATTCTGGAAACACAATGAAAACTCTACTGAACCACAAAAAAACTGTAGGGATGATAAATTTGTTCTATTGCCACAGCCAAATGGTATTATAAACTCAAATTTCAGTCTTAGATTCACAACCTTTTTGTAAGGGAACTTTTTACACTAACAGCATTTTTTTTACGACTTTGGGCCAATCTGTGCAAAGCTTCTTGCTTCTTTCTTTCAATTATTTCTTGTTGCCTTTTTGATTCTCTAATGGCAAGAGCTTGCAACCTTTTCTTCTCTACTTCTTCTGGAGAACATTTTATTGGAGCTGTAAGTACAGAATGTAATTGGTTTTCAAAATATTTAATTAAAAAATACTTACAATCAGAACACTCTTCAAATTTTTTTGTCTTTAATTTTCCTTCAGCTTCCATCCTTTTTTTCTGGATCTCATTTAACTTATCTTGCGACAAAATACCTAAAATTATCTGTATCTATATATCACAATTACATTAAAAAAATGTGAGATTCCTAATGTTATGTGTTAAATATGATCTGTTAAATCAGTCTTACCATTACAAATTTCAAAACTTTGTGTTCTGTAGAACTCAACTTTTCTCGCCGCAATATTACTTGTACTATTACGTGAGAAAAAAGTTTCAGATTGGGATGTGGGAAATACAGTTTTAGTTTTATTGATATGACTTGCTACTCTACATGAGGCTATATCAACTACTTGAGTTAATAGGTCAAGGTCTTCAATTGGTATTTGAGAAGCAACCCCTTCAAATGAATCATCAAAAATTCCATCTTCGGATTTGTTCTTGAGCACTACGCTATTCGCTACCTTACAAGAGGGTTGTTCAAGACCATTATTTGAAAATGGCTCTGCTTTTAAATTATTCTCTTTAGATAAGAGAGAAATTGGAGGAACTGCTTTAGTGTGGGGGTAATTATTTGAAGAACTTTTAGGGTCACTGTCATGACAAATTTTGTTAATTTTTTCATCTATAGTAAGATACTTAGTTTTACAATTGTCATTTATTTTTATTAATTCATTTTCAACTTGCTGGCTAAACTGGATCATTTGTTCATCCAAAGAGTCATTAAAAATGTCTTCTGGGTCACTATTGCAAGAAGTTTGGTTACTTTTAATAAGAATATCAATAGCACTGAGATTTGTCATTTCATCTTTATAGGCAGCTTCTTCCCTTGGAGACAAAATTAGACTTTCCTCATGATCTGGAGCTGCCAGTTCTTGTTTTAGTGCTGTTAAATCCTCTTTCAGTTTATCAAAATCATGTTTAAGTTGGTTATTTGACGGATATCTTTTAAAGGAGATCTGATGTGAGTTTGTCATATTTAGCCTTTTTTTATGTTTTTTTGTTTTTTGTTTGGACTGTGGTGAATTCCAGTCCCAAAGGACATCAACTTCATGTTTGATTTCTTGTGTGACACATGGAAAATATGGGCTATCCTCATCTTCAGTGGCAAATGAATCTCTAGTGGGTGTAATGCTTGATGAATTGATGCCTTGTTGATAGTTTTTAGTTACGTCTTCATCTAAAACACAAGAAAAAAACTTCTTAAACGTTTAACTAGTTGTATCACGTACCAGATTTAGTTTTTATAGAAGACAGTTTGCGTATTATTCCTTGTTTTTTGTTCATGGTACACGCAATTTAATTTTCTGTACAAAATACAGAAAACTAAGGTTATATAGTTTTTCTTCGTCTTACAATACGATTGTGAGAAGGTTATTATATTACCTTGGGGCAGTTAACCCATAAATACCGCTTTCTTTAGATTCTGGAACTACAAGTCCCCGCGACCCAAAGATTCGGGATTGCTATTCAATTTCTGTAAATGTCTGTGAAGCATATAAGTGCAATGATATTTACAAAATCATAAATGAAGATGGACTAAACTACACTCTTAATTTAAAAACTTAATTACCTCTATTTACTGTTCTTTTTACGTTTTATTGTATATAGTAATAGGGATTTAATTTTTTTTTCTTTATATGTACAGGTAAATTTTGAAAAACATAATGTTTGATTAAATGTTTCTCAAATTCTTTTACTTTCTGTGGGACTCATAGTATGTTATTAGTCGAACACTTATAACCACAGTTCAGGAATAATGTTAACATTATTTAAAAAAGATGTCTCTGCCCGTTTTGATCAATGTGGCTAAATTTTATTTGCGTTTAGTTTATTGGTAAAATAATTCAAAGAATGAATACTGACCAATACACGCGAACTACTCAAAGAAAAAGCCATTATAAAGAACTATTAAACAAAGTGGAAACCATTGAGGAAAGTAATGATGTGGGTTTAGCAGCTGTAAATGAAGTTGGAGAGATTCTAAAAGAAGCCAACATTTTGGATAATGAAATTGCAATTGAAGAGAGGGTTGGAAATGCAGATGAAACTGTTTTAGGTATTTGATATGAAATTTAAATAAAATAAAAACACAGGTTTTTTTGTTTTTAGATTGTTTAGTTCTTTCCTCTGCAAGTGGAATTTTAAAAAGATGTATTGAGGCAGTTGATGTTTTTACTTCCACTTATGATGGAAGGGACTTTGCAGACAAAATATTGCATCAAATATGTGATCAAGAGAGAGAAAATATTGACCCTACAGTTACTTTAAAATTGCTTGATGAATCTAGAAAAACCATACCCAACCTACCAGAGTATAAAACTGCATATGGATCATATGATTTAAATGCATCACCACCAGTTCCTAAACAAAGAAAAGAGAATTCGAGAGTAATAAAAGAGAAGTTGCAAAAGAAGGAGCCTGAAAAAATTAATAATTTAAATAAAGAAGAAAGTATTGAAAAGATAGTTAAGGTTTTGTTTGATGTACTGGCTGAGGCTTATATTGCAAATCAAGAAGTACCTATAAGCTATTATGATTACATAATTGACACTAGTAGCTACCCAAACACTATCGAAAACATATTTTATTTTGCATTTTTAGTACGAGATGGAAAAGTTAAATTAGATTTAGATAAGAGTGGCAGTCCAGTGATCCAGCCAATAAAAAAGAAGGACTTAAAAGCATTTCGTGATGAAGGGGGGAAAAACTCACAAATAATTTCATCTATAAACATGAATGTGTGGAAGAAATTCAAAAAAGATGGACTAATCCAGAGACACAAAACAAATGATTAAATTACAATTGTGTTATGAGTTCAGTAAAATATGCTTTTTCAAAGTTTTGTAAGACTTTTATTTCCTTGATATAATTTGGTGGTGGAGCTACATTGTGCATTTAAAATGTTGGTCAAATTTTCAATCCTAAAATTTTGACTTAAGGCTTGATCTAACTTAAAGAATAATTTATAATAATTCTTACAACAATAGCTATTTGAAAGTAATTTTTATCTCTTTTTGTGCACAACAATAATACAAAACTATTTTGACTAAACATTCAGTTATAGTCTAAAAAATAATTGAAGGACTCCTAAGTGTTTTACCTAACTTTCAATGGGTATGTAAAAAAAGTTAAAATGGCTAAAACCATAATCTACTATTAAAAAGCGTTGACATTTACTAAGTGTTACATTACAGGGCAGGTAACCAATATTTGTACTGTTTGAACCACAAAAAAAATCCGGAGAGTGGCAAATTAAATACACATTCATTACGCCACAATATATTGACTTCATATATTATTCCGTTGAAAAACCAAAGCAAAACTATTTTCCATTTTTCGTATGTAGCAACAGAAATAATAAAAAAAAACATGCATAAAATGTCTGGTTTTCAAATAAAAATTAAAATTAAATACCAACACGTGGGTACACGTCACTTCCGCACTATCCCCACTACTATTTCTGTTTATATACTTTTCTATTCTGTTTATAAACTTTGTTATATTTTACGCCCTTGTGTTCTTCAAGAAAAACATGATTTTTCTTTAGTTCGATTTACCCGTATCATTCGAATGTTGCGTTTAAAAACAAAGCAGATATAACTCGTCGGTATTTATTTATTTTCCTCGAACGCAAAAACCCAATCGGCATTTTGTGAACACTTGTTTGACGTTCTGATGTCGGTGCTAGTCAATGGAAAAACTTTCAAGCAACTGGAAATATAATTATATAATTCATTTATTACTTATATCACCTGTTTTATTCCATGCTATATTTTTCAGCTCATTGTATTTTTTTAATTAATTAATATAGCGAAAATCTTTTTAAGCCACGAAATTTTATATGAATGAATTGTCCTCCCGTCCCTTGCGTAAACGGTTCCCGCGCACTGCACGTTACTGGTAAATTTCTATGGTTCCATGGCATAGCCGCCATGATGGCTTTCTGTATTACACGCTTAACATGGAAAGTTTCAAAGTTGTTTTATTGTATTTGTGACTGAGTGCGTGTAAATAAAAACAATGGGAACGTACTAAGGAACACGAAGATTCGTTTAGTGTCCGTCTCGGACGGTCCGAGTAACAGAAATCCTGTATTCACAAGTTTTTATGTTGGCCTTGTCGTGTGTTTTGTGCTGTCAACAAATATGTCGAAGCTTTCGTTTAGGGCGCGGGCCCTGGATGCCAGCAAGCCCATGCCTATTTACATGGCAGAGGAGCTCCCGGACCTTCCGGATTTTTCAGCAATTAATCGAGCAGTTCCTCAAATGCCATCGGGAATGCAAAAAGAGGAGGAATGCGTAAGTCCTTTGATACTGACATCGGACAATCGTTGATTTAATCTGTCGCCATGTTGATTATTTTTGACGTCCAGGCACGTAGCCGGTGAAATTAATTTTGAAATTTATTTCTGAGGAATTTTGCACTCTATAGTTAAAATTCAACTAATTTTTCGAGCCAAATTCAAAGTTACGTCGGATTTTGGGTTGTCCCTGCGTCGTCATGTGTTTCCGTCATTTTTGAAAATACTGTGTTGTTATGTTCATTACATAGGTTTAATACAGTAATGCCAAATGCAAAATATTGACAGGAGCATCATCTACAAAGGGCAATATGTGCTGGACTCATCATTCCTACTCCCGAAGTCACAGATGTACCTCTCAAAGACTTCTACGACAGGGTTTATCCTTCAAACTACAAGATGCCTCGACAACTTATTCACATGCAACGTAAGACTTTTTACTGTAATGCCTTGTAAAGCATTTTAAACATTTTGTCCTAAGTGCTATTTATTCAAAAACAACAATGTTGATTTAAAAAAAAATGGTAGTAAAACTAGTATGAGATGTTCCATCTTGTCAACCACCCTTTGTTGGTTACTAAGGGTTCACATTCCATTTTCAGTTTCAAATGCTACAGAATAATGTGCCATCATGCCTGTAAAGTGTTTATATTTCAGAAATCCAGTATTATTCTCCATTTGAATTTGATATTCACATAAATACATGATTGTCTATATGTACAGAAAAAAAAAGGGAATATATTCGAGAGAGTCAAAAAAAATATTTTATAAAAACTAAGACCCAATACTAGCATCAAAGAGAAAAGTATGTAATTTAAACAAAGATTAGGGATGGTATATTTTTATTTAAAGGTGTAATTAAAAAAACAGTTATTGCATATTTGATAATAAATTTAAAAAATAGTAAACAAAATCTGTTGCTTTTAAATTCGTTCCCTGTAAGGAAAAATAAAAGTATAACAAAAAATATACTTATTATATATTATACCAGGGATCCAAAAGTATGGAAATTGGAATATATGAAATGTAAATATTGAATTTAAAAAATGTTCCCTAAAACCAAAATATTGGGGGAGGCAATTTTTTAAAGAAACTTCCACAGGCTACTGCAATACTTTTTACAAAACTTCTGGATTCCTCCTGCGTCTTTTTGCTGAGTCGAAATTGCTGACGTTTCGCCAATCATCCTGTTGGCTTCTTCAGAGCTTGTCTGAAAACTGTAAACAAGAGGAATCCAGAAGTTTTGTAAAAAGGGAGGTAGCAACTTTGACATCTGAAATCGAAACCCCCATAAAAATGACAGTTTTTATCCCAGCTCTTTTTCCATAATCTCGGTAGATGGTGTCATAATCGCAAAAGAACGATTTATCCGTTTTCTAAAGAAATACAGGGGTTAATATTATCAGACTTTGGTCTTACCATACATTCATTTTAACATACTTTTGCTACTGGCTACTGTAAAGTACCCAATTTTGCACCAATCATTTTTAAATGAGATGATCGCTCTTAACTCGTGAAGTAGTGGAAACTGACGGGTTAAAGTGAGACTTTGCGCACGATTGATTCGCACATAATTGGGTATTTTAAAATATCTTAAAACTAAGGTGTGATAACCAAGAACGCAAAGAATTTGGCATAGAATTTAGAATAAAAAATGGCAGTGGCTATTAGGTTTGGGGTAGGTTTTATATTCAATATTTAAAGCGATTTTTTTATATTTTTGATCAATTTTTAATGCTCAAGATATTCCACTCTTTCCATATTTTTTTTTGACACTTGGTATACTAGATCATATTTTAGATCTAATAAATAATTTTCAAACAATGCATTAACAGTATATTACGCCACAAGTTTAATAAACGCTATTTTAGTCCCTAGTTTTATTTGTGATATGGGGAGCGAGTGCTTAATAAACGAGTGACTGAAGAAGTTTATTAGCGTGTTGGCATTCTATATTTTTTCGACGACCATTAGTTTTTGTGCACATTTGTGAGTGACCTTTGATGTCAGTATCGACAAAGTTCAAAATAGGATCTGTGGCTAAATTTACTAAAAACATTTGACCGCTCCCAAGCCCCTTTCTAAACTACCGGAAATGTTGGAAGTGGGTCGCTACTTTGAGTGACAAAGCCGACGTCTTAAATGACAGTTTCCGCACTCTTGATGGGTACATAATTAGGCATTTAAACTATATGTGATTTGATATGTTTTCATGGCGGACTAAACTAAAAGCAATGTAATATATTATATACATGCATCTGGTGCTAAAAAATTGGTCAAACATAGAAAAAAAATCAATCAAATAAAAGAGTAAATACCTTATGCGCTTGAATATTTTTCTAAGAAACTTTCACAGGGTGCTGTAATACTATTTGCAAATCTTTATTGCTTCTGCGTCCTGCAGGAGGAATCCAAAAGATGTGTAAATATTGCGTTTAATATTTAAATGTAAGATAACTTATTTGTCTACAACATTCAAAGATCTATCTACATTTTAATTTTGTTTGTTTGGTTTTATTCTATATTCGTTTAAAAACGTGCTTCACAAATCTTCAAAAATTATATTCGCGTCTTTGGATTGCTAGGAATATTTAAAAATTATCATATGAAGTCCAAAACTAAAATCTAATTTTGAAAAAATAAGTCTATATTTTGCAATGGACTTACAAACATTGCCGGATTGCCTGATTTGAACTTGTATTAGACTTGTGAATTATTTGAATTTGCAGAATTTTAATAAGATTTCGGCCTATTTTGGGTTAGTTTTTTTGTTTAAATACTGATTCCAAGTAGTGATCAATCCCTTGTCAGTGTGCAACAAAAAAGTGCGCGGCTGCCCGAACACTGGCTGTGTACTAGCTTACTTTAACATACTCTTCAACTTAAACAACACTAGAACACCGAACTATGCTTCGGTGGTTGTAGTGAAATTTGCACTTTGTCACGTTTAATTTTTATGAATGCGAAACCGGAAATTTTCAGAGCAAAGCTTCATATGTAATATGGTAGACGGGATTGACGTTTAGGATAAACAATTTAACAGACGCCCGTTTTTTTTTGAGGATTACTCATAACGGCACCTAATAATTTAAAAATAAAGTAAATTATTGAAAATGCTTAATTTTCAGTTTTTTAAGTTTTTGAACCTACTTTCTTGGATTGATAGTTGGTTTTTCTTCCATTTTTAAAACAGATTCCAGTCAAAATCGGCTCCTCCGACACATCGAACCTAAAAGCGCATCAAAACTGCAGATATCAGCTCAAACTATCGTTTTTTGTACCAGTTACCTTTTGTTGTCAATATGTTTCAAATACTAGTCAAAATTGGCGTCTTCGGGCATTAGAGTAACGCAAACCTTTGTAAACCATTAGATATCGACGTAAAACCCCCTTTCTGAGTTGTAAATACCTTACTTTTCTAATACGTCCATATTATTCTAAATCCAAATAAAAAATAATAAAAATAGTGATCCATTAAAAATTTGGTGTAAAGGTTATCTTTTCGATAACAATGAAATAAAAAATTAGGTTTTCTGTAAAGCTGTTTTTAATGTGACAAATATTCTTCAAAACTTACCCCAAAACAGTCCACGAGTGTAAAAGTCAAGTATTATTTTAGTATGTGTTTAGTATAATATGTATCAGTTAAAAAAATTAAACGAAAAAAAATAATTATAAACATTCATTGACATTTTTTTTTATAAAGAACCAACTTTACTTTTTGTAAATATAAAAAAGTTTCCCATGTTTTACAAACTGCTATTTACAAAATTTCTGGATTCCTCCTCGTCGGTTAGTGTTGAATTTTACTTGCTGTCGTTTCGCCAATCATCCTGTTGGCTTCTTCGGAGCTTAACTTCAGAATCCGAAAGCAACCCATAATTCGCACTGTTGACCCTTAAGACTAAGACAAAAAAACTCATAGTAAATGGTGTACACAGTCATGAAACTGGTCATAAAATTCTTCTAACAAAGAAAAATCCGAGAATCTACTCCTGTCACCAATATGCCCCTTCTTTAGCTCCTTCCCGCTCAAACAGTATATAAGCAGGTACAGAGTAAATTGCGAGGCAGCTTCAGTTAAGCTCTGAAGAAGCCAAAAGGATGATTGGCGAAACGTCAGTATGTTCAATTCAACAACTGATGCAGGAGGAATCCGGAAGTTTGGTAAATAGCGGCCTGTGGAAGTTTCTTGGAAAAATATTACAAACCTTTAAGCCATACATAAAAAATTGCAAAATTTAAGCTTCAATTCAATTTTAGTTTGTGTAGATTGATTGAATTATAGAATGATTATCCGATAAATATATTTCATTATGTATATATGTTTCGGAGATTTATATTTTTACTTACAGGTGGGTTGAACTTGTGATCAGGTTAATGGCCTTATGTCATTGTAAAAAAATCATTTCTAACCATCCAATATTCTAGTAATGAATAATTTGCAGCTTTTACCATGGAACAAGACATCCCCGATTACGACATGGATTCTGATGATGAACGCTGGCTACAAACACAGGCACCGAAGTTGGATTTAAGTCCCGCTAAGTTTGAAGAAATGATGGACCGACTTGAAAAGAGTAGTGGGCAAACGGTCATTTCTCTGAATGAAGCCAAGGCTTTGCTGAAAGAGGATGATGATCTGATCATTGCAGTATTTGATTATTGGTTAAATAAACGACTTAAGACGGTATAATTTTTGATTCTTGAATGAATAAATAAATATTGTTTAGTTTTCATCATTGTTGGTTATATGTGCACAATTTATAGTGCTTTTTATTACTTGCAGAAACATCCTTTGATTTTGTCAGTTCGTAATGAACATAGAGTGGGTACTGCTCCAAGTAATCCTTACTTGGCTTTCCGACGGCGCACTGAAAAGATGCAGACACGTAAGAATAGGAAGAATGATGAGGTGTCATATGAAAAGATGTTAAAACTTAGAAGGGATCTGTACAGAGCTGTTACGTTGTTGGAATTAGTCAAAAGAAGAGAAAAAATCAAACGGTTAGAGTATTAAAAAAGTCATTTTTACCATAATTATTTGGTTTTTGTTAGTCGATGATATAAAAGTAAATAAAATTCTACATTTAAGGGGGGTAAAAGACTGGAGAAGTTTGACAAATGTACTCTTTCTTTTATTATAAAATTTAAAATTAGTTGGGCAAGGGGAACTATCAAAACTTTCTGTAACTAAGTTTGAACTTTCTTAGCTACAATTTCCGTGCTGGAAATATAATATTGGTTTTGTTCTTGTTAGGGAGTATGTGCATTTAACAGTAGAAGTTTTTGAGAAGAGGTTCCAGGCACGTGACTTCAGTGGTTCTATAGTTGCTGAGGCAGCAGCTTCTAAGCCTGCTACTCAGTCTCTGCGCCCTGCTTTTACACCTATATTTCACAATCATTACCCCAACCAGGGCTGGGCGGGTACAACGCAGGCCATTCAATCGATACCCAAGAATACAATTAAAGATGAGGCAAGCATATTTAGATCACCAGCTAATATTACCTTTGATATTAACTCTGTTATTTATTTTATAGCTGGTACCTAGACGGGAGAAGCGGCAATATAAAAAACGTAAGCACAAAAGTATGACAGGGCGCGGCCTGTCTGATAGTCTCGCTTTATCATCGGATGAAGATGAGGCGGGACCGGCCCAAGAGTCTGTTTCTTCAGAACCAGGCGAAGAGGGTGATTTAGATGGGCAGTATGCTTTCCGAAGAAACAAACTGTGTTCATACCACATGGTAAGTTAACTTAAATTTAATTATTAGTGTTAGTGAAGTTAATATCAAATAATGTCAACAAATAAGTTTTTTGTAAATTTTTCCGTAAATTAAGACCTAGTGAACCCTCAAATGGATAGATTATATAGCTGTTAATTTGGGGTCACTAAAATCCAAACAGCAAATTTAAAGTTTTTTTTGTTAAAGCCCCTTCCAACATTGGGTAACTGGCCTTGGTGTTCGCAAGGGGAGAGTGGTTTAGGCGACAAAAGGTTTCGTTTTACCTTAACTTCGCTTAGGAACCCCAAACGATGTATTGGTTTTGCTCGACGGAGAGTGGGAAGAGGTGGAAGGATTATTTTAGACAGGGTATCAACGGAGTACGATGATTTTTGGCGCGGGTGAGTACCCTAAGCTTAGTGTTTTCATTAATAAAAACATTACAACATGGCAAAACAGTAAACTCCTGGAAAACAGGAAAATTGTCAAAAAAAAGTAGTCTGAACAACATGAAAAATGAAATGAAATGAAAAAGTTTTTAACAGGTACACAAGTTTTGTACTGTTACATAGTCAAATTCTAGCTGAAATTTTAGTAAATTTCTATTGAATGTTTCAACAAACTTCTCAATTTTGCAGACGTTTAAAAGTGTCATTATTTGACATATATCTTGAGAGTTAGGTCGCATTCTCAGAACTACATAGTCTCGCAAGCTACACTGCTCAAAAAGCGGCACCAAGTGGTTCAGCGCCCCTGTTGGGGTTAGCTTTTGTGTATAAATATATTTTATACACACAGTTTATAAAAAACCTACAAGAACTATGGATAAGCCATTGAGAACAACCTTAATTGCCGTTGCTATATTAAATTGAACACAGGCGGAGAAAAAAGAAATATTTGTAAAAGGAAGTATATGTCTCATTTAAAAGTATTAGCTTTTTGCAGTTGTAGATAATATCTATTAGCGGTAGTTATATAATGCTTTAAATTAAATAATATAATGGTAATATTGAAATAAACTGCCTCTAAATTCTGGAACTTTGGTGATTGAAATCAAAAACAATCTCTACAATCAGTACCATAATTTTTTCAAATGTTGATTTGATAAGTTTTTTAAAACTTTTAAGTTCCAAGTAAAACCAAATAAAATCCAAAGCCGCTGACAGAAAAAAATGTAGCAACAACAAACAACACCTCCAGCAACAGCATAAAAAGTTAAAAATAAATGGACCTCCCATCGTGTCACTGGCGACAGAAGGGTGGGAAGAAGCAGAGGTAAAGCTGTTGATAAATGCTCAGTTCCTATTGGTAACCAAAGTGTCGCTGGCAATAGGACATAGTTCTGGAAACGAGGCTTTAGGGCGTTATTGAAATGACATCTGGTCGCCATCCTGACGCAAAATCGATATTTTGTTTTCGTTATGTGCCCAATAGATTATAGGTAATGTCACTGTCAGACTGGCAATCCAAGTTGCCAAATGATTGAATATATTTACCCCAAATATTTAATATCAATTTAGAGAAAGTGAATTTTCTTTATAAACTGCAACAATTTCAATTGACTTCAATAATTAACAAAAGGGAACAATAATTTTTTAGATGATTATTAGGTTGGATGGCAATGGCTGATGCTGATGATGTTTTCCAATACATAGATGGATAGATAGTTAATTGGTAAAATATACAAAGTCAAAGACAAACCAGTACTTGCACAAACAATTTCAAATGCAAAAATTAAATGTTGAAGTATTTAAAAAAAAAAAACTATTAAAATGTGCATAATACCAATACATTCATTGACTGAAGTTGATTAGCTCGAATCCAGTTGTAAAATTTAAATGCCAAATATCTGAGTTCCATTTGTAAACATTTTACTTATAGATTTTATTTATATGTTAATTGCCCAGATGGGACAGACTATCCTCACCTATTGGTCTCTACGCCCGGGATTATACAATGCGTTTTTGCAGTGATACATTTCCGCAAAAAATATTTGTAATTCTATGTTTTATGGTCAAAAGTGGAATTGTTATTTATGTAAATGATTTCTGCCTCACGAAAGTTGAGTAACTGGTGTTCAAGCAAATCCGACGTTTTTGAAAATGTTGTACAACTACAACCGAGCAGGCACGACGTAGTTCCCGTTCTACCGCAATATGTATAACCTCAAGACTGCCTTCCCTGAATAATCATCGCGTAAAGTTAAAAAAGAGATGAAAGCCAAAAACTCGATTGAAGGAAGCTCCCTTGTTCCATTGTTTAGGTTAATTATGTTCGCTGTTAATACAGTTTTTACAAGTTAAAAAATATAAATTTGTGCACAATGGGATTTCAAATTTTGTGGCTGTAAATTAAAGTTTGTAACCAAATTTGCTTAGGCACATAAATTTCATTATTTTTAGGTTGGATTTTACGATAACAGAACCGGCGAAGAAATTATCTGCAGTATCCAAAGAAGAGGAACATTTGCGGGATAGTGGTGTTGATCTCGGAAATGTTTCTTGGTCTCTAAAATCTAGAAGTGATTCTCAACGAACAGGGGACAGTGTTTTATTAAATTGCGGTAGTGAATCGTTCACAAGTGATTTTGTGGGGAGTAATAGTTCTAGTTGTGGCTTAAGATCAAATTCCTTATCGTCAAGTGTTAGTGGCGTTAAAGTGGAGTACAAAATGGAACATGTAGAAGAAGATGGTGTATCAAATTTGGAAGATGCAGGCGTCATAGGCAGTCTGCAGGAGAAACATGTGAATCAGGATGATAGAGACAATATGGTGGAAACGTTGAGATCAGTGAGGAGAAATTGGTATGTGGTAACATCTACTTTCCAATAATGAGACCAGGGTTTATAATTTTCTGGAAGAGAGTAATTTAATTATAACGAATCACTGAATATTATCTAGCATAATGGACTTTGATGTTTAATGATTTCCTAATTTCAAGACTAGGTATATGTTATGTTATTGATTTTTTTCCCACATCTTGTGTTAAAATTGAGGTTGCCGAAACAATGGGGTTAATTTTCTTTCCAGGTTACATTTTAGACCAAAAACCCCTTCTCCGACTTGGGAACCACCATGCTTTATGTTACCTCCCGATGATCCTCCTTTCACCTCCACATCGATACCTCCCTTTTCTATGGAAGTACAACCCTTGGACCCTTCAAGTTCAAGCCTCCTTCAAGACCAATCGCCTTTCTTTACTGATTTGTTTGATTTGGAGAGGCGGTGGGTTGATGCTGATGTAGCAGACACTGAAGGGTCTTCTTCCCCGTACAATCAAGATTTTTACCTTGATTATGCAATGGAAGATAGCAACGTGGATACTGTAGGTGTTTCAAAATTTACGCTTATTGATGCTGGCGGGATGCAAATACCAGCTTTTGAAGACAAGCCACATCGAATACAGAAAAAACTTGGTACTGAAAAAATCATGGGATCAGTGGGTACTCACCAGGCGCCAACAGAAGTTGGCAGTACAAATGGATTAATCACTCAAGTTGAGTTTCCAACTGAAGGTAAGGATTATTTAACTTCATCATGACTTGACTATCCGGAAACACCAGTTTTTCTTAAGATAAAAGTAATATTTTTTATATTTGAATAATAATATAAATCAATAATAGAACCATGTAAACAAATAATTGATGCTATTAATGGCAATATTAAATCTATACAAATTGTTTTCAGCGCCTAGTTCCAACTGTTCCAGGACTAACAAATTAACCAGTTACGCTTATAGCAACCCAGCACGAGGTTCTTCTTACTCAGACACTGCTCCAAGTATCTTAAGTTTACTCACGTCAGCACAATCAGTTACGCTTAATAGTCATAGGTAAGTTTCTTTTGTGTAAAACAATCCCAACAAACTAGTTAATCTAGAAGTATATATTGGAAATTGTCTTAGAAACGACAGTGTGGAAGTTGTCCAGTTCCATATGAGCAATGTCTTGAAATAAACGCTCCAGTATTTGCAAAGGAAAAAGTACATTATGCAACAAGTGTGGTAAATGGCATTTTGAATCAGCATAATGAGTGTTTAATAAGCGAGTGACTTAAAAAATTAACCAAACCTGTTGTATACTATACTTTTTCTACTACCATTATTTTTTGGGTACATTTTTGCAAAACAACACGAATACATTCATTGACAAGCCGTGAGGTAAAATCTCCGAAAACATCCGATTGCTCTCAAACCCAGAAATGTCCGAAGTGGCTGGGATCGGTGGGACAAGAAACCACATGGTAAAGTGACACTTCCCGCATGCTAGATCGGTGTATAATAGGGTATTTTACGGAAGGAAGTAGAAAAAAGTATTTTTACGAATATTCTTCATTGGACAAATAAGGAAAAAATGTTGAACTACATAAAGAACACTTATTTTCCATATAGTTTCTCTTACACATGGTATTCTGGTGTCTTGTTCTGTGTTTATGAAAGTCCAGACCTCTACAGATTTTTCATTTCACTAAACGCTTTTGTTTGATTCCTTTTAAAGCATTTTTTTTTGGCGCTTTATGTAGGTGGTTGCCACACCCCTTGAAAACATTTTCTACCATATTTTAAGTTTTCTTTGATTCTTTACATTCTCCCTACCTTAGGTATTCCACTTCTGCGGCATAGCACAGTTGTAAAACAATCGTATCCTGTGTGATAAACCTCATCAAACTTAACATAACATTAACATTATTCTTCTATTGCCAATTTGGGAGCAAGAGGATGAACGAACAGTTTTCATGCCTTCTACATTTAATAAATAGTTGTCAATATTTATTAACCAATTGTTTTGTTCAGACTTGAAGAACTTTTTATTAATGGGTTTTAATTTTCAAATATAACTTCTAGTGCCAACAGTTTACTAGACCTTCCCATGGATGTAGATGATTCATCCAGTGATCCGCTTACCGGCGTCAGCTCGACTGGCGTAAACCATTCATTAAGCCCCACTTCTAAAACTAACGGCGGAGCCACCGCTCCGGGCAACTCCACAAAACCGTCTCTAGTAAGAAACAACAAAAATAATATTGTAATGGAGGTGACGTGATGCAAATCGAGGGGGCGGAGCCCCGCACGGAAACGAGGTTAGTTTGTCATGATCCTAATATATGCAGTCATGCGGCCCGCTGGTGATTTTGCATAGACACAAGATAAGAATTGGTTAGAGTGGTAATAGATTTTGATTGCGGATTGTTTTGTTTCTCAGTTGATAGTTATTCCGACAACTAAAGAGAGTTAGGGAAAGCATGCAATAGGCAAAAAAACAACATAGTAATATGTAAGTAGACTGAACATTTCTCTGAAAACCATTTTGCAATTGCTTCTTTAAACGGATGTTCTTTTTAACAAAAAATACAAAAAAAAAATTTTTTTTAACAAGCGAGTATTTATAAATTGCGTTTTTGTGCCTCTATTAATGGGATTTTAAAGTTATCATATCCCCAAATATAAATCAGTTTTTGAAAAACTAAGTATTACTATGCGCATCATCTACACTTTTGTAGTTTCAGTAACTGTGTTTTTATCATACTTTAAGTTAACTGGTTTTGTTTAAGTCCATGACAGAAAAATGTGGTTTTCGTAAAATTGCTTACATTTCCCGGAACAGTTTATGGTAATTTCTTTATATCAGCACTATATCAATTCTGAAAAATTATAATGACAAAATTAGAAAAAATTAAGTTTTACACAACTTCTTCAGTCTTCTTCATTTTTCTTCTCCAAGATCTATGTATGTGAGATAAGTAATTGTGATTATTAAAATTGGAAAGTGCATATTGGCAGATTGAGATATGTTATATTTCAAAAACTTCGTTTTAAAAGTTGGGCAGGATAATAAAGCAGTCTTTTTGTTGAGTACCTCGGCTTCTATCGTACGAAAAAAAAGGAAGACTTGGTAAGGTTGAGTAATTTATTTCTGTAAACATATATATGTATATATATATATTTACATATATATAACTTTTTGTAACATAGTATACATATTTGTAATTATATTGTAGTTAATATTGTACCGTAAATTAAGAAATTCGTAAAAGGCTGTTATAAAAACTAATTTCTAGTAACTTATTAATTTTTGTAAATGAAAAATGAATAAAATGTGACATTTTTTACTAATTTGGTTTTTCTCGAGACGTGTACTTAAATCAAAGGTCCCTGGGTTTAACAACTTTGATAGATGTTGCACAATCTGAAGAAATCATAATTACATTATTGATTTAGTCATAGTTTCATCTCAATACAATAATACCTATACCAACTCAGGAGTTCTTATGAACTACTATATATATATTTGTAAACATCAAATTTGTAATATTCCATTTGAGTTGGAGTTTTAAGAATGTTTTTTTTGTTAAAGTTTTTAAAAGCCAAGCAATAGTATTAAAAAAAAATTAGATACAGGTGCAAGGATTCTACAAATATCTATTGAAATTATCTTTTTTTTTAGAAAACCACCGGCATAAATTTACATAAAATATATGTTGCAATAATGCTTAATAATTTATAAATCTACAATTAAAAACACTTGTTTATACGTTCATTCTGGAAGAATCAGAGATTTAGGACATTTTTATACCACTCACATTGTAAAATGGTTTTGCTGTTTTGGTATGCCATGTATGCCATATCTATTACTATTACCAAAAATGTGAAGTTTTAAGAAAATTTTGGCTGTGTGTATTAAGTCTTATCAAGTATGGGTTTATGTGTCTTTTTGGAAGTCACCAAAACCTTTCTAGTTTCCATGACACTGTTGATACTGAACAACCGACTTGTGTGAGGTACCTTATTTTAATACTGTTAATATGCACAACAAGATTCAGATTCAGTTTATAATGGTCGCTGTGAATAGGACTTCACATATTAGGGGATCAATAATGCAACTTTTAAAAAATTATAATGAACAAATAAAATATAAAGAGTAACAACTTACCTACTGTTTTCCAGAAGAAACTTGTATAACAAAGTGCAATTAATTTTTTGGTAACCCGGTTATTTTAAAGTAAATTTATAATCTGTTATAAATAAACATAATGTTAACAAAAATTTTAATTCTAAAAACCAAAGACGTTATATCCAAAATGTCGTTGAACTGAACAAATATTTTTTTTACTGTATTCATTACTAACAGTTACCTCTTCTCTCGCGGTTTCAATGTTTGTCAAAGTTGAAAAATAAAGTGCCTTTGATGATTTGAAGGTAACAATTCAACAGATATTGGTCAGTTTGTCCAAAATGTACACGGGATGAAAAATCTAATTCTTTTTGTAAATACATATTTTTAAAACGCTTGTTGTAAAATATATATTTTCAGTATTTTCTCATCTTTTCCTTTGTTGTTGCTTTGTAGTACTTACATGTTCCAAAAATGAACTTGTCGATTTCCAGACAAATAATTTTATCGAAATTTATTTCAGAACATTAACATTTTTTTCGAATTTTTATTGATGGGTCACATGAAAACAGATTCATTTTTGGATATCTATTAAAAGACCTGTTGGTATGTTGAAATTTTGGTCAAATCTGACTCAAATATATAAGAATCAATGGTGCAAAAATAAAGATCTAGATTTGTAAGTCACATTCCCTTTTTCTTGCAAATCAATCGTTTCTTTAAAATAAATAATGAATTTAACAGTGTAAATCTCACAAAAATATATTTGTATAATAATTAAACAAAAGTGAAATGTGATTGAACTACTAATTTTAGGTTCTTTAGTGTAATTTAAGTGTTTATACTGTTAAGTTCATTAATGCTAGGTTATATAAATTGAGGATATTGCAAATAAAATTAAATATAATTTATTCACAGCTAATGAGTAAACTATTAATATATCTGTGGTAAAGTAATAACAGTTTAATGAATAACATATGACAAGTGCTTCTCAATGTAACACCCAGTGAATATAGCAGAGTAGATATTTTTCAACGAATATTAGCACACTTCAATAAATTAGAAAGATACTATAATTGACAGTTATTTCAATTCGCCATTATGTGGGTTTTAATTTGTTTCTTGATGTTAAGTTTCTCGCTTTTGGTTAATTTTTGACTAAAAGTGCCCATTTGTCATTTGCAATATCCACAATATTACAATAAACAAAAGTTACGCTTTGAATTTGTGCTGTCGCTTCCAATTGCTGAACCTAGTCTCAGTGAAGTGGTTTATTTGATAGCTACTAATGTGTACATGGATGTTCCTCACAACTCCCTCATGTGAGCTCATACACTAGTGAAAAAAAAACTACTAGATAAAAGATTAAACACAACATGCTCTATACATCTTCAAAATCTGAAAATCTTATTGAAGTCATTTTGAATGTGCTATGTTCGGCAATTGCTAGAGAGAACATTAGATTGTGGTAATTTATCCATTATGCGATATTTCTCTATACGGGTCTTGTAAAAAAAATAAAAAAAGTGTATGCAACACTATTGTTGTGGTTTTTTCATTAGAAAATCTAAATGTGAATAACTTGTAAATATTTTAGATATGTGTAAGGAAATTCAAGAAACCGACAAAAAAAGGAAATAAAGATGCTCGCGGGGCTATTAGAAAGACCGCAATTAAATTGACTACTTTGTTTTATTTATAAAATATACACAGTTACTATTAGGAGCCACAATTGGAGTAGATAAACCTGTAAACCTGGATGTGTTTGCAAATGGCATACGTCTGCATCCTTCATTTAGTGGTCTCCATAAAAGCCTCTGGGCCTGGCATTCGTAATGTTTATACCTAATCCCTCCCCGAGTTCATATTGATCTGAATTATATTAAAGGAAACCATAGAACGAAATAACTGGCCTTACTTATGTAGGTTGTTCAGTAAAATATAAAACTAATTTTTAAATCTTCCTTTTCTGATGTCACCGCAAAAGAATCAAAGCTGAGACCATAAGTTCTAAAATATATTCGCAATGCTACATATACAGTGAATAAACAAATATATTTAATCTAGACTTGCTTTAGCAAGCAAATTATAATGTAAGAATCACTAATTTGTAGTATACTATTGCGCCACTGATTGATTATCGTTTTGGGTGCTATCTGCATCGCTAGTCTGTACAAGGCCTCTTATAGATAAATCGTAGACCACTTCTTCAATCTTCTTAACATCATACTTTAAGGCATCGAATCTCTTACGGAGCGAATCATTTTTCAAATTTAATAGTCGAAAACCAGCGTTTAACTGAGCAACAAACCTGGATATTTGTAAGGGTCTACTGTAATCGCCATATGTTACTGAATTGACAGCAAGTCTAGACTGAAACAATTGGGTTTGATAAGTATACACATTTTTTTCAGGTTATAGAAAATTCTAGGTACAAGCCTTTGTGATTTCAGTTATGTTGTTAGAATTGTTTACTTACACTGTATGGTATTGAAAGGCTAAGAACATTCTCATTTAAATGTATAAATACCCAATTGTTCGAGCCACCAAGAATTTGCCGACAACAAAAGGCTTGCACAATAAGTCGGCCATCCCGCATTTAGAACAACTTACATTAGCTCTAAATTTAAGTGTTTAGCTATTTGAGTTACAAAATTGCGCAAGAACACATTATAGTCTCACATATAGAGAATTCTGCGTTGCATTTAATATAAAGCAAACTAAATAGTTAATAGCTGTTACTAACTAATAATTGTGAGGGCGCCTATCCACATTTGGAAGGAAAAGATAAAGATTGATGTGAACATAAGTCACTTGTAAAATCTTTTAAAAAGGTGAGTATTTGTCAACTTCAACTCATTATTAACAGAGACAAATGTTAGATTACATTTTTGAAAAAAAAAAAGAACAGCCAGTAAAATATTGTTCCCTCCTTTTTTTTTTAAATTATAATTTCCATTTTCAACAGAAATGTTTTCAAACGCTTTTTGTGAAATACATATGAAAAAATTTATAAGCTTAACTACAACTAATCTTCAAAATGGCAAAAAAAAGTAAAGTGTTACTAACCAGCTCGGTTGCCAGGTTGAGCATGCCCATTAGGTAGTCCTCCAGATCTAAATGAATGTTTTGTTTCTCGTGAACTAAAATAAAAAAAACTGCATTAAGATTTTGATAATTACTATAATCAAACACGATCTTCTTTTATAACACCAATTACACCAATCGATACAATGAAAATTACATCTTAACTTAAAAATAAAAACAGTGCTTTAATGGATCAACTGATTTACTTAAAGTCTCTTTGGTTAAACCTTTACATAAGGCGACAAAACATTGATTGAAAACTCTAGAACTATCGATGTGTTACCAATATTTTTTGAAGTTTTGGTGATTGCCATGTGCACAATCCTTAATTTTTTTTATCCATGAAAACATATCACAATCAACACGCGAGTACTTTACTAAGTCTGTTGGGACTACTACATATAATTTTGTTGAGAAAATTCTAAATGGTTCAGAGGAAATGAACATTTCAATGGCAGTGTTCTTAAACTTATTAAAAGCATTGGGAGACGCCCTGCCTTAGAATGGCTCACAAGTTACATCTTCGATAGGCGCCAGAAAGCCATCATAGTGAGCAATGGAAGACAATATTTTTGAGAAGCAAGTAATCTTCAACTCTGCGACTTGGCTCAGTGTCATAGGTTCTTTACTTTTTCATGTTTTATTTATATACTATTTAGCCCAACAGCAAATCAAACTTTGAAAAATGTTGCCGACTATTCTAATTTGTTAATGATTAGAGCAACTCTTGTCAGAGCTTGTTGACATTTTTTCAGATCGGTTGACTAACCAACTGGTTTTAAATTGTTCATAAAACTAATTCTATGTGCTTCCGTACCAAATGGAATTATACTACCCTGGGTCAGAAGCAACAAATTTGTTGGTATTTAAGTTGACCATAACTTAGATTGGTCAGGTCATTTAGTGACTGTAAGACAATAAATACAGCTTGTAATCCTTAAAGAGTTTTATTAAACGAAATTCTGTTTAATTAAAATATAAACTTACCTCCAAGAATCTTTGCTGCAGTAACTTTGTCAATTAGAATCCCTTGCTCTAAAAACACAACCAGGGCAGCCAAAAAACAGAGTCTTTGGGTGGCATATCTCCAATGGTCATTATATCTATAATATTGCCCACTTGGGATGATTTTATCTAGATTATCAAACTCTCTAGTAACTTCTTCAAAAAGTTGTCGTGCTTTCAGACAAGATGTATGTACTAAAAATAATATTTACAGAATTGTCCTTCACCAACATGTTCCTAACAAAACCAGAGGAATTTATGCTGAATGAACTATCTAATCTAAAGCTGTACTTTTAAAACTAAAACCCTAAAGTAAAACTTTTAGAAAGATGTGATGAATTACTCTGTCACTGATTGTAAAATTTATTGCTGGGAGCTCTGATTTTATGCTACCTCTTAATAAATAAATAAATAAATAAATAAATATATATATATATATATATATATATATATATATATATATATATATATATATATATATGTGATGACACTATATTCCGGAATATCATCCGTTCACTCGTTGACCTCCGACTGGAATCCTGCAAATCCTGCATCCGACTGTGTTCGAAGTGTTTTCGGAGCGCGAGCATTGAAGAAGCCAAGTGAGATTTTGGCGAAACGTCTGCAGGATTCCAGTCGGATGAAGGATTTGCAGGATTCCAGTCGGAGTTAAACGAGTGAACGGATGATATCCCGGAATATAGTGTCATCACATTTTTCCATCCGTGAATCAATATGTGAGAATATATATATATATATATATATATATATATATATATATATATATATATATATATATATATATATATATATATATATATATATATATATATATATATATATATATATATATATATATATATATATATATATTATATGATATATTATATATATATTCACGTATTGATTCACGGATGGAGAAATGTGATGACACTATATTCCGGGATATCATCCGTTCGCTCGTTTAACTCCGACTGGAATCCTGCAGACGTTTCGCCAAAATCTCACTTGGCATCTTCAATGCTCGCGCAAAACACATATATATATATATATATATATATATATATATATATATATATATATATATATATATATATATATATATATATATATATATATATATATATATCCGAGTGTTCGAAGTGTTTTCGGAGCGCGAGCATTGAAGATGCCAAGTGAGATTTTGGCGAAACGTCTGCAGGATTTGCAGGATTCCAGTCGGAGTTCAACGAGCGAACGGATGATATCCCGGAGTATAGTGTCATCACATTTTTCCATCCGTGAATCAATACGTGAGAATATATATATATATATATATATATATATATATATATATATATATATATATATATATATATATATATATATATATATATATATATATATATATATATATATATATATATATATATATATATATATATATATATATATATATATATATATATAATACTATATATACTATGTATATATAATACTATCTACCTAGACAATACCTTGTGCACAATTCATTTCACAGTGAATTATTTGTAATGATGTGTGTATTTCTCTGAGAAATTTCTCAATACACTTTAATATGTTTCTAATTTCCTAAAACATTAAAATATGAATTAAATTAATAATCAAACTTTGAATATTACGCCTTTAACGATATTTACTACACACTATATTGTTTTACCTCTCGAATATCTTGTTCCGCGTTAATGTAATCTTGGAATGGAGCAAAAATGTCCGTTACAACTTTATTTGGTTGTGCCATTTTCGAATTTAATCAGGAACTATTTTCGGATATTTACATTTTCTTTATTCGAAAAATAAAGCTTAAAAAATAATGGGAATAACGCGGATGTTAAATTTGGAAGAGATAGTAAAAAAAATACTTTATAGGTTGGAATTGATTTTTCTTCTTCATTGTTGCCGGTTTTAATTTGGTTTTACAGAAAATTCTCGTGTCACCTAGGCGTCCACCAGAAGGGGGATGGCCCATTTCCGGCGTACGTGCTTTGGACTTTTTCCAGACTAGAGAGATTTCTTCATCCTCGCATAGTCATTAATAAAATGGCTCACATCGACAGCGATTTCAAGTGAACACCACAATTGATCTAATGTTCAAATGTCCAAAGACCCCGAACGGCGTTCGGTCCTGTTTCGGAAAGTCTCGGTGAGTATTCTCTCGCGAGGTATCTCGATGTAGCAGAAGGTCAAATGGTATACTTTGCAATTTGCCAGTCGATGCTAGATGTGTATAATGCGAATACATATTAGGAAAAGGGTGCTTGTCTCAAAGATACAGGACGTACATTGGGTGCTAAATCTGCACAGTACACATGAATTCCTATGTATACGGTCAATTATAGTTTCCAAAAATATATAAGTTAATTTTATTGAAGGTTGTTGCAACGAACATTTAAAAGAATATTTTTTATTAACTCGTGAGTATCTTTTGAATATTTTGTTGTCATTATTGCCCCCTATTTATTACAGCCACCGGTAGGTAGGTAGGTAGGGTTTACACCTGATGATGGGAATAAAACTGATTATAAGCTGTGCAATTTGTCCTAGCCAGTTGCGAGTGAGCTTTGGAGTAACATCCACGTAGCTATTAGATACTATAGTGGCCCTACTACGGTAAGAAGTGATGCGCCGCAGGTGGCTGTGATATTCTCATCGAGAAGGTCTGGATCTTATGCGCATGCGTCACTTGCCAACTGACTGATTTGACACGTAGCCGTAATTTTTCTGAAAAAATTGAATAATTTTTATGAGGGCCAACCTGTCTCTGAAATCCGAATATAATTGGCAACGCCGAACTAGGTAATTACTATTGTCAGAGAATACTAACAGTCTACGCCATTGTTGTTTTAACTCTTGGTGTTTGTGTTTATCTCCGTACCTTTTCCGTGTTTTTGTTGATAAAAATGCCCACCCATTGGAAAACTTGTTGTGTTTGTGGTCAAAGCTGTAAGGAAAGGAATGTGCCTATACACAGGTAAGTGTTGTCTTATGTACAAGTTAATTTAAAAGATTTAAAGGTGGTTTATAGGGAACTTGAACTCACACACTTGTATAATTTGTACTTTTAATACTTTGCTCTTTCACAAAATTACAGCAAATGTGGCAAATATGAGGATCTAATAGGATCTTAGACAAACCCAAGGATGCCTATTTATTTTTCATTTAACTGCAAAATTGACTTGCACATAATTGTTGACATGTCCGTTTACTACACAGAATTCAGTACATTTAGATAGTTACATAGGAAGGATGTTTGGGTGATATAAGAAAACAATTAAGCTGCAAGTTTTACTAGAACAAGCACAGGAAATACCCCTTGATAACCACAAAACCTTGTAAAACTTAATATGGCCTTTCAGTTGGTAAAAAATTACACAACTCATTACCGCAGAAAGGGGGAAATTACCAGAATCGGTTCGGTTGCAACAGGAAAAATTTAAACAATATTTCTTCAGGATATTTTTGAGAAGTCTGAGGGCATTACAGAAACGTTTTGGGAATTATAAGGAATTGTAGGCAACTATTTAAAATGTGGGGGTATTTCATTGGTAGGTCACCTACCTCCTTAGGGAGGTAAGTGAATACTGCAGTACATACACACACAATTTGATATTGATTAAATAGAAACAGTTCTATCAATAAATACTGATTTTGTAAATCTACTACTAAAACAAATCTTGATTAGTCTCGGATTATTTTCCCAACCCTTGCTTGGATTGAGAGTAAACTATGTAGTTCACTCGTATCACCCAGCTTCCTTGTGTGAATAACTATTTAGTACAACAAGTTGTTGGGTTATATTTTATCAGTAACTTAGGATCATTCCCAAGTTATGGGACTGATCAATGGTTCCTATTTTTGATATAATATTCGCTTATGCAGGTAGTATCATCAATTTACATTTCATTTTTTAGTTTACCAAAAGATGAATTTGTATGGAAACAATGGATAACATTCCTTGTTGAAAATAGGGCTGTCAGGGAAACTGATAACTTTGCCCAAGCATCCATATGTGGGGTCACCTCACTGCTTTAAGCTACCGGAGCTGTTTTTAGGTAGATATGTGATGAGTTATATATTGGGTTACGTGTTTTCTGGTCCTTCTAGTTGTTGATGGTACTTAACACTCCATATTTACATTGCTTAATGGTACCTTTTTTTCTATTTTTTTTTACATATTTAACTGTTTCATTTCTGGCGCATTTTGAACCAGACTGAAATTTATCAAATAATTTCTGACGTCTCAGAAATATTATTTTGTCGGTAATATGTTACTAACTTTCTTTCGGTCTAAAATATTGATATTTTTCTTGCTAATTTCAATATAAGAAAAATTTTTGTTGTTCGGGTACATTTTTGAGTTTTTTAAGTTGTTAGGTTGTTTATAGATTTCTATAGTCTCTCGGATTTTTCGCTGGTAGCAGAACGGATTACATTCAAGAATTTTAGTTTTATCGAATAAAATTTTATGTCTGGTTTCATGAGTGTGTTCGGCAACAGCTGATGAGTTTATTTATCTTAGTCGTAAGGCTCTTTCGTGTTCTCTGAGCCTAGTTGATATTTTTCATTCGGTCTCTCCAATGTATTCTTTGCCGCATATGCATGGAATGCTGTAAACTCCTAGCATCTCGAATGGAATTTTGTCTTTGATGGACCGAAGATGTTGAAAGATTTTTGAACAAGTATCATCCCAAAAGAGGAAATCATTTCAAATGTCGAGTCTATCCTAAACAAAAAAAAAATCCTTAAAAAATCTAAACCTTCTAAATCCAATATTGTATAGCCTGAACGCATCGCCTTAAAATCTGTAAAATCCAATCCAGACATCGTAATGCAGATAAAGGAAACGCTATGGTAGTCATGGACACAAATGAATATTAGGAAAGATTCTTACAGACGGATCATATTGTCAAATTAAAAAAGATCCTACGTCATCTATGGAGCGCAACCTTAAATCTGTTATTAAGGCTTTTTTTCTATCAGACTCCGTGAAAAAATCTGTTACCCCTAACGACCCTAAAATTCCTCGTCTCTACGGACTCCCAAAGATTCACAAACCAGGATTACCCCTTCGACCTATTGTCAGCACCATTGGTTCTCCAACATATTCTCTAGCAAAATATCTAGCTTCCTTATTAAAACCTCTTACAGGGAAAACTGACACTTTCGTACTTAATTCCTTTCACTTCATTGAACAATTAAAAAACATTACATTAGATACACAAGATATTCTAATTAGTTTCGAAGTAGAATCCCTCTTTACCAAAGTTCCTATTCCTGAAACTCTCCACATCATTTCAGATATATTAAAATCCGAGAATCTGGACCCAAACCTTCTCACCTTAATTGAAAAATGTTTATCGGGAACATATTATTCTTATAACGGACAAATTTTTGAACAAAAATTATGGAAACGCTACGTCGATGATACTTTTGTTATTTGGCCTCATCGTCAAGAAACCCTAGCAGATTTCTGAACTGGCGAGGTCGCCTTATCAAAATATGTTCCTAAAAACAGCAGTCAAGTCAGAATTCTAAATAACATAGAAATATCTCAAATAAAACATGACAATCTTGAGAAAGAAAATGTTGATCGTTTAATTAAATTACTAAATACTAAACAATCATGCTTTGCACAGTCTACTGTGGAATTAGGTCCAATTAATCATGTCGAATTTACTATAACTCTAAATTCTAAGCAATCAATATATTATAGACCCTACAGACTCTCAGAAAAGGAAAAGAAATTATACGTGAAAAAGTAGATGAATTATTAACTGCCGATATTATACAAACTTCACAGTCGTCATATGCAAGCCCTGTAATCTTAGTTAGATTATACGAAATTAAATGCTATTACAGTAAAAGACAAACAAATTAGGCGGAAATAAGTATTTTTCTAGTTTAGATATGAAGCACGGTTATTACCAAATTCCTTTAAATAAAGATTCGGTCGACAAAACGGCATTTATAATTCCGGACGAACAGGACAGTAGAGTTTCTTCGCTTACCATCCGGTTTATGTAACGCGCCATCAGCATTCAAAAGATGGGTAAATAATATAATGGGTCCATTACGCCATTCCGAAATATCAGTTTATTTAGATGACATTTTAAGTCCATCGAAATCTATAATATTATTTTAAATATATGCGAAGAAAAAAATTTAAAATTAAATCTAGAAAAATGTTATTTTTAAAAACTAAAATTGATTTTCTAGGTTACGAAATTAGGGCAAATGAGATAAAACCCGGTTCAAAAAAAGTAAAAGCCATACAAGATTTTAGAACCCCTTGAAACGTGCATGAAGTAAGACAGTTCTTAGGCTTAAGTTCATACTTTAGAAAATTCATTAAAAATCAGGCTGATATAGTTGCACCATTAACGAAATTACTAAGAAAATATGTAAAGTGGGAATGGGGTGAAATTCAAAATGAAGCTATTTCAAAAATTAAATCAATTTTAATCAACGAACCTATTCTAACCATTTATAACCCAAAATCTAAAACCGAACAGACGCTAGCTCAAAAGGTATCGCAGGTATTCTCTTTCAAGAATCAAATAATGGATTAAAACCAATGGCATCTATAGTAGAACAACAACCGTTTTCATCATTCATATGAATTAGAAACATTAACGGTAATCGAATCTATAAAACGATTTAGAATCTATATTCATGGTATTCATTTTAAAATAATTACGGATTGTAGCGCCGTGCGAAGTACATTTGTAAAAAAAGAATTAGTGCCCAGAATAGCACGTTGGTGGTTCGCTATCCAAGATTTTGAAATTCAACATCGGACAGGGAGCAAAATGTCGCATGTAGACGCTTTAAGTAGGAACACTGAAAATATTTTTAAAATAGGAATCAACGACTGGCCTATATGCAAATGAAAGACGAACAAATACGTATAATTTATGAAAAATTAAAATCTGGAACAGCCGATAAAGAAATAAAACTCACTTATTGTCTTAAAAGTAGTACCGGAAAATATTAAATGGTGAACTGACTTGTAGTACCGAAAATATGTAGATTTAATATAATGAGAAAATATCACGATGAAATAGGTCATATTGGTTTGAAAAGATGTGAATCTTTAATAAAAAGTAAATTTTGTTTTCCGAAAATGACCCGAAAAAAGAACGGTTTCTTTGTCCAATACCTAAATCAAATGAACCACTTTACACGAGGCATATTGACCATTTGGGACCCTTCTGTAAAACAAGCAAAAATTATGCATACGTTTTTATGATAGTTGATTCGTTTACTAAATATTGACCAACCAAGACCAACCAAGACAACAAATTCAAAAGAAGTTATTTATTGTTTAAAAGACGTATTAGTATGTTTGGAACACCCAAACGAATTATTTCAGATCGTCGCAAAGCTTTTAAATCTAAAACATTTAAAGAGTTTTGCGACGAAATGAAAATTAAATTAATTTTGAATGCAGTAGCGTCACCACTTTTCAATGGTCAAGTGGAACGTTATTACCGCACTCTCTTAGACGGTCTAAATACTAGTATGCAGGACGAAAATGAATGGTATGAAAAACTGGCAGATGTTGTTTAGGGAATGAATAACACTGTACTGGGTACACTCCACACGCATTAATGTTTGGATTTGATAAACATCGATATGGAAATTTAGACCAAAATGACATAATGCCTGAAAATAGGGAATATATTGCTGGAAAATATAGATAAAAAATGGACTTACAAAGTTAAAAAAATGAAAAAGCAGTTTGATAAAAAACGAAAACAAAGTACTAAATATCAGGTAGGAGATTTGGTACTTTGGTAGGGGGCAACGAAAAGATTCCAAAGAAGTCGGGCGTAAGACCGGAATAAAATTTGGAGGTCCTTACAAGGTATCGAAAGTGTTAGAAAACGATCGATACGAAATTATAGCTTTGAAAGGACTAAAAGGCTATCCACGGTACTCTGCAATTGTTGCTGTAGTACGTAACGAAAATACAAATCCGGTGCTCTAACCGAATCTGATACATCGTCTGATTCGGAAGTAAATAGCACCGATGAGTTAATTGATTTATTGGAGTCATAAAAAAATGGAACACCAGAATTAATATATATATATATATATATATATATATATATATATATATATATATATATATATATATATATATATATATATGCATATATATATATATATATATATATATATATATATATATATATATATATATATATATATATATATATATATATATATATATATATATATATATATATATATATATATATATATATATATATATATATATATATTTAATTCTGGTGTTCCATTTTTTTATGACTCCAATAAATCAATTAACTCATCGGTGCTATTTACTTCCGAATCAGACGATGTATCAGATTCGGTTAGAGCACCGGATTTGTATTTTCGTTACGTACTACAGCAACAATTGCAGAGTACCGTGGATAGCCTTTTAGTCCTTTCAAAGCTATAATTTCGTATCGATCGTTTTCTAACACTTTCGATACCTTGTAAGGACCTCCAAATTTTATTCCGGTCTTACGCCCGACTTCTTTGGAATCTTTTCGTTGCCCCCTACCAAAGTACCAAATCTCCTACCTGATATTTAGTACTTTGTTTTCGTTTTTTATCAAACTGCTTTTTCATTTTTTTAACTTTGTAAGTCCATTTTTTATCTATATTTTCCAGCAATATATTCCCTATTTTCAGGCATTATGTCATTTTGGTCTAAATTTCCATATCGATGTTTATCAAATCCAAACATTAATGCGTGTGGAGTGTACCCAGTACAGTGTTATTCATTCCCTAAACAACATCTGCCAGTTTTTCATACCATTCATTTTCGTCCTGCATACTAGTATTTAGACCGTCTAAGAGAGTGCGGTAATAACGTTCCACTTGACCATTGAAAAGTGGTGACGCTACTGCATTCAAAATTAATTTAATTTTCATTTCGTCGCAAAACTCTTTAAATGTTTTAGATTTAAAAGCTTTGCGACGATCTGAAATAATTCGTTTGGGTGTTCCAAACATACTAATACGTCTTTTAAACAATAAATAACTTCTTTTGAATTTGTTGTCTTGGTTGGTCTTGGTTGGTCAATATTTAGTAAACGAATCAACTATCATAAAAACGTATGCATAATTTTTGCTTGTTTTACAGAAGGGTCCCAAATGGTCAATATGCCTCGTGTAAAGTGGTTCATTTGATTTAGGTATTGGACAAAGAAACCGTTCTTTTTTCGGGTCATTTTCGGAAAACAAAATTTACTTTTTATTAAAGATTCACATCTTTTCAAACCAATATGACCTATTTCATCGTGATATTTTCTCATTATATTAAATCTACATATTTTCGGTACTACAAGTCAGTTCACCATTTAATATTTTCCGGTACTACTTTTAAGACAATAAGTGAGTTTTATTTCTTTATCGGCTGTTCCAGATTTTAATTTTTCATAAATTATACGTATTTGTTCGTCTTTCATTTGCATATAGGCCAGTCGTTGATTCCTATTTTAAAAATATTTTCAGTGTTCCTACTTAAAGCGTCTACATGCGACATTTTGCTCCCTGTCCGATGTTGAATTTCAAAATCTTGGATAGCGAACCACCAACGTGCTATTCTGGGCACTAATTCCTTTTTTACAAATGTACTTCGCACGGCGCTACAATCCGTAATTATTTTAAAATGAATACCATGAATATAGATTCTAAATCGTTTTATAGATTCGATTACCGTTAATGTTTCTAATTCATATGAATGATGAAAACGGTTGTTGTTCTACTATAGATGCCATTGGTTTTAATCCATTATTTGATTCTTGAAAGAGAATACTTGCGATATATATATATATATATATATATATATATATATATATATATATATATATATATATATATATATATATATATATATGTATGCATATATATATATATATATATATATATATATATATATATATATATATATATATATATATATATATATATATATATATATATATATATATATATGTATGCATATATATATATATATATATATATATATATATATATATATATATATATATATATATATATATATATATATATATATATATATATATGATGACACTATATTCCGGGATATCATCCGTTCGCTCGTTGAACTCCGACTGGAATCCTGCATCCGACTGGAATCCTGCAAATCTTGCATCCGACTGGAATCCTGCAGACGTTTCGCCAAAATCTCACTTGGCATCTTCAATGCTCGCGCTCCGAAAACACTTCGAACACTCGAACACTTCGGAGCGCGAGCATTGAAGATGCCAAGTGAGATTTTGGCGAAACGTCTGCAGGATTCCAGTCGGATGCAAGATTTGCAGGATTCCAGTCGGATGCAGGATTCCAGTCGGAGTTCAACGAGCGAACGGATGATATCCCGGAATATAGTGTCATCACATTTTTCCATCCGTGAATCAATACGTGAGAATATATATATATATATATATATATATATATATATATATATATATATATATATATATATATATATATATATATATATATATATATATATATATTCTCACGTATTGATTCACGGATGGAAAAATGTGATGACACTATACTCCGGGATATCATCCGTTCGCTCGTTGAACTCCGACTGGAATCCTGCATCCGACTGGAATCCTGCAAATCCTGCATCCGACTGGAATCCTGCAGACGTTTCGCCAAAATCTCACTTGGCATCTTCAATGCTCGCGCTCCGAAAACACTTCGAACACTCGGAGCGCGAGCATTGAAGATGCCAAGTGAGATTTTGGCGAAACGTCTGCAGGATTCCAGTCGGATGCAAGATTTGCAGGATTCCAGTCGGAGTTCAACCAGCGAACGGATGATATCCCGGAATATAGTGTCATCATATATATATATATATATATATATATATATATATATATATATATATATATATATATATATATATATATATATATATATATATATATATATATATATATATATATATATATATATATATATATATATATATATATATATATATATATATATATATATATATATATATATATATATATATATATATATATATATATATATATATATATATGGAATAACATACTATAATTGTAAATAGTTGCGGTTACTATAATTAAGTTAAAGACTTGAAAATGTAAAAAAAAATGTTTTTGTAGGCAATGGATCGTCCTACCTACAAAATAATAAAGTACAAAATATAAATTCTTACTGAAAGTTACTTTGTTTTATGTTCCAGCAATAAGAAGACACAGATAGATGACATCTACACGCGAGGACGCGTAGAATGACAGGATGGCCGAATGTTACCAGTTATATTTATTATATAAAATATGTAGAATATTGTAATATAAACTATTACTATTATTCTTCAATTAATATTGTTTATTTCAATGGCTTTTATAATGTGATTTATTATTTATTATAGCATTACTGTTGGACGTACCTACGTAGTTCCCAGGGTGACTCATAAATATTCATACACACGAACTAATCATCCTCGCACCACGTGTTTATTATTAAGGTGGCGTGACTAAGCGCCGACAAAGCAAAAATGCCGACGAGGGCCACAAGGGTGACAGGGGGTTTGCTTTTCGATATCATAATCTTTACGATTGGTGGTACGTTCGACACGCCCGCGATATATCGAAGTGAAAATAGACAGTTTGAGTGAATTTGACTATTATTTGGTATCCCATTAACAATATAGAACATCTTCCTTTTAGGATGTTTCACGTGAGATTTTTAAAACATTCCAAGCATTTCTGGAGAAGTAATTTTTAGTTATCTACATGCAAAGCCCGGTAGAGAAAATGCAATTTCTACATGTATTTTTAGCAGATTACAATTGCTGTTCAATATTTTTAACTGGGAATTTTTGGCGGTAGCCACCATGCAATTTTTGCGAGCAAAATGTTTTTAAATTTTGCGACAATAAACGACAATTTTGTTTTCACCACGTATACATAATAACTTGTGGGTGTATTTGAAAAATCCATAATCGCAATACTAGAAACGAAAGAAATGAAGATGCTTGTTTGAAGTGCTGAATCAAGTACAATATATACTAATTATTGACTTGTTTTACACTAGTTTTTAATTTTCTTGGTTATATTTTGCAATACCTACAGTTTGTTAACGAAATCCTGTGCGATATCTAGAACCTCAAAGTTATTTACACTTTGAGTCACATTTCGACAAGTCGACTTTATTTACATTTTCAGTATAAAAACAAACTGTTTTCGTTGATTTATGGGCACAAGTTCTGGAAAAAACAGCTGTCTATAGGGCTTGAAGAATCAAAACGCCAAATTACTTATGGAATTATACTAAGAACGCCGATCCGTATGTCCGCACTATAATAATTTTTTTAACAGCGTTTTCCACACCTTAATTCCATTTTTTGCCTGAAAATTTAATGTGATTTCGTCATATTTTGAGAAAATACTAGCATAAAAATGCAGCACCCAAACTTTGACGACCTGACAGCCGCCATGTTGGTTGTTGGAAGCCGCAAGGCCTTATGGGTCGAACATCAGAATTTGCAATTAGAGCTCCCATTCGTTAAAACGAAATTTCAAATCTCTCGCATGCGCATATTTAATGGTGTTGGCTATTAGACATATAGAGGCCCTGCCTATGCTAATTGTACAGGAACTGTGAAAGGAAATTTTGAGAAGGTCTGTTAAATATGCGCATGCGCGAGATTTGAAATTTTATTTTTAACCAATGGCACCTCTAATTGGAAATTCTGACGTTCGAACCATAAGGCCTTGCGGCTCCCAAGAACCAACATGGCCACTGCCAGTTCTTCAATGTTTGGATGTTGCATTTTTCGCCAGTATTTACTCAAAATATGTCGAAATCCCATTAAATTTTCAGGCAAAAAGGAATTAAGGTGTAGAAAGTGGACAAGGGCAGAGTTAATATTATGCTGAATTACAGCAGACGGATTGGCGTCCTTGGTATAATTTTGGTACTTTAAGCGCTATAGACACGATAGCAGCTATTTTTTTCCCGAATTTGTGCCCGTAAATCGACACAAAAAGCTTGTTTTTATAAACTTATTTCGCGAAATGTGACCCTAAAAGTGTAAATATAACTTTGAGGTACTAGATATCGCACTGGAAACATCTAAATGGAAAAAATGTTCAACAAGCACCTCATAGAGACAGAGTGCTCATTATTTCATCGCAAGTCTAGTAATTGCAGACAGTTTCGCCTCCCAAAAATATTATTATGAAAAGCACCAATGGACAATTTCATTAGATATGTAGGTATTGGAAAATATAACCAAGAAATTTAAAAACTAGTATAAAACAACTCAATAAATAATTAGCTCCAAATGTAACAGAATTAACATTACCAAACACTAAAGAGTATCGTTTATTGTCTCAATGAAAAAAAAAACATTTTGCTAACAAAAATTGCATGGTGGCTACTGCAAAAAATTCCCCCTCAAAAATATTTAACAGCAATTGTAAAATGTTAAAAGTACATGTAGAAATTGCATTGTATCTACCGGGCTTTAAGTACTAGTATTAATTCACACAATAATTTACCTATATTTTATTACCATCTGAATTCAATTGCAATAACCAAAAATTACTTTTCAAGAAATGCTCAGAATTTTTTAAAGGTGTAAGCTCACATGATAAATCCTAAAAGGAGAATTGATTTATTAAGAAATACTTTTTTCCAGATGTACACTCCAGTCCTGTTACGACGACTTATTCTTAATTATAATCACATTTTATATAGTGTTTTATTAACTCGTTTTGAAGTTCACAGAAGATATAGTTGGAGAATGAACACAATGTAAAAATATAAATGAACAAATACATGAATTATTTAATAAGGCCTTTATTGAAAAGAATGAAGTACAATGTGTTGAATGTATTAGTGCAGAACGCAGTTAATTTGCTTTGTGTTAAAATATACATGATCTGTATGGGTGTTTTAGTTATTGTCACATAGTATTGTTTTGTAATAATACTTTCTTTTGCGTACGTGACTCGAAAAAAAAAAAAACACACACACACACAGTAAAATGCCCGACCAAATAGTTTAAGTGTAGAATGAATTTTGTCAGTTTTCTTATACAAAATTCCAATATTTAATACATCCTTCTTAAATAAAACGCTTCAGTGTGTGTTATTAAACCCACATAATTCAAGAGGTTGTGGGCTAAGATTCCAGAAGCGAAGGATTGTAAAATAAGAGCTGTAAACAGTTTGGAATTTCGTACTTTTAGCTATGGCTGGAATACACAGCGATACAGTGCCAATTTTAGAAGCAAACAATTTTAATAATTGGCAATTCAAAATGGTAACTTTGCCTCGAACGGAAAACTGCCAGGAGGTCATCCAAGGTAATAAACCAGGAAAAAGTGCTACTTCGAATGAAAAGGAGGAATGGGAGAAAAATGATTATAAAGCACAGTCAATAATAGTTCAAGGTGTGTCGGACAAACACTTGGATATTATTACAAGATTGTCCTGTTGGAGAAACCTGTTAAATCTAAAAACTACCGTGAATGAAAGGCTTGAAGACCATTTTTTAAAATTTAATACAATTATCAGGGAGCTTAAAAAGCATGGATCAGACCTAAGTGAGAGTGATAAAGTTTGCTATTTACTATTGTCACTGCTAGTACAATATGATACAGCTGTAACAGCTTTGGAGACACTTTCAGATGTAAAATTTGATTTTGTTAAAGCGAGGTTATTGGACGAGGAAATAAAAATGAAATCAAAAGCTAACTGTAGCAATGAAGATAGCGAAATGGGTTCGAATGTAAGTAGCAAGAAATGTTTTGCGTGCGGTAGTCCCCAACATTTTCAAGCGCAGTGTCCACGAAAAAAAGGGAACTTTAGAGGCAGGCAACATAGAGGATTCAGAGATAACTCACGTGTTGATAGAGGAAAAGGAAGTGTACAAACGTCGGGAGATAGAAGGATAGAAGGAAAAATGCCTAGTGTGCAGGAGCTACTAAATTATGTGTCAATACATATAGCCAATGGAGAAATTTTAAGGTCCAACAAGACGAGAGTATTAAAAGCAGAGTGTCAAGGGGTCAAATTGTCAGTTGAAGGACTCATTATTCCAGGTATAAAGCACAATTTGTTGTCAGCCTCAAAGCTACAAGGGGGCATAAGAATGTAGTCCAAAGAGAAGGCACAACCATAAAGGGTAGAAATTTTGTGTCGAAGTGTGAAAACAAAAATGAACTATATGTGTTACCAATGAACAAGATAATAGAACCGTTGCCTAACCAGAGTTACATTTCAGTGGAGAATCTATGGCACAGAAGGTTAGGACATGCAGGTGGTGACTCACTTGTGCAGTTAGGTTTATCAAAATCTAACCAGGTATGCAGCAGTTGTATGGAGGGCAAGGCAAGGAGGTGTCCGTTTGAGAGAAGTAAAAGGACAACCACAGCTATAGGAGAGTTAGTACAAAGAAGTCTACATTTTCTGTATGAGTGTCTTAGTTATTGTCACATAGATAGCACTACATGTATTGTTTTGTAATAATACTTTCTTTGGCCTACGTGACTCGAAAAAAAAAACACACACGCAGTAAAATGGCAGACCAAATAGCGTAGAATGAATTTTGTCAGTTTTCTTATACAAAATTCCAATATTTAATACATCCTTCTTAAATAAAACGCTTCAGTGTGTGTTATTAAACCCACATAATTCAAGACATTGTTGCTTGTAAAATCACTTTTAAATTAACTTGTACATAAGGCAACACTTACCCGTATATAGGCACATTCTTTTCCTTACACTTTTGACCGCAAACACAATACAAAAACACGAAAAAGATAAGGAGAGAATCATAACCACCAAAAAGGTAAACAATGGCACAGGCTGTTAGTATTTTCTAGTAATAGTAATTTCTAGTTCGGCCTTGCCATTTAGATTCGGATTTCAGACTGATTTTGCGTTCTTATTAAAATTAGTTAATTTTTTCAGAAAAATTACGGCAATGTGGCAACTCAGTTATTTGGAGGTGACGCATGCGCAGAAGATCCACACCTTCTCTACGAGAATATCATAGCCACGCGGCGCATCGCGTAGTAGGGCCAGTATATTACCTAATAGCTATGTGGGTAACACATATTTATGGGCCCCTACCCCTAGCCTACTTTACAGATAAGATGGGGCATTTCCCATGGCCACATGAAAATCACATAAAAATGTACTTATGGTGATACAAAAGTACTTTCAATCTACAGCATCGTGAATCTGGCTTCTGGACTCCGGGATCCAGAGCGGCCCAGAAATGTCCCTAATGGCCCCAGCAAATCTTTTGTTGTTGCATTGGTGTAGCAGAAAATATTTATATATATATATATATATATATATATATATATATATATATATATATATATATATATATATATATAAAGATGGAGGTTACCTTTGTCATAAAAATATAAAATATTATTATTATTATAGGCTTTTACTTGGACAAGGCACTGTAGATTGTACGTCAAACACAAGCAAATGTAAATGGAAAAAAATTATTATACGATGTTTTGGGAATTATTATTAAAATGCTTGTGCTTAAAATTTTTGTTTCATTTCATCTATTTCAACAGTTTCACATCATAAAAGAGAACAATCAGTCTAAATATTTTCTGCTACACCAATGCAACAACAAAAGATTTGCTGGGGCCATTAGGGACATTTCTGGGCCGCTCTGGATCCCGGAGTCCAGAAGCCAGATTCACGATGCTGTAGATTGAAAGTACTTTTGTATCACCATAAGTACATTTTTATGTGATTTTCATGTGGCCATGGGAAATGCCCCATCTTATCTGTAAAGTAGGCTAGGGGTAGGGGCCCATAAATATGTGTTACCCACATAGCTATTAGGTAATATACTGGCCCTACTACGGTAAAAAGCGATGCGCCGCGTGGCTATGATATTCTCGTAGAGAAGGTGTGGATCTTCTGCGCATGCGTCACCTCCAAATAACTGAGTTCCCACATTGCCGCAATTTTTCTGAAAAAATTAACTAATTTTAATAAGAACGCAAAATCAGTCTGAAATCCGAATCTAAATGGCAAGGCCGAACTAGAAATTACTATTACTAGAAAATACTAACAGCCTGTGCCATTGTTTACCTTTTTGGTGGTTATGATTCTCTCCTTATCTTTTTCGTGTTTTTGTATTGTGTTTGCGGTCAAAAGTGTAAGGAAAAGAATGTGCCTATATACGGGTAAGTGTTGCCTTATGTACAAGTTAATTTAAAAGTGATTTTACAAGCAACAATGTCTTGAATTATGTGGGTTTAATAACACACACTGAAGCGTTTTATTTAAGAAGGATGTATTAAATATTGGAATTTTGTATAAGAAAACTGACAAAATTCATTCTACGCTATTTGGTCTGCCATTTTACTGCGTGTGTGTTTTTTTTTTCGAGTCACGTAGGCCAAAGAAAGTATTATTACAAAACAATACATGTAGTGCTATCTATGTGACAATAACTAAGACACTCATACAGAAAATGTAGACTTCTTTGTACTAACTCTCCTATAGCTGTGGTTGTCCTTTTACTTCTCTCAAACGGACACCTCCTTGCCTTGCCCTCCATACAACTGCTGCATACCTGGTTAGATTTTGATAAACCTAACTGCACAAGTGAGTCACCACCTGCATGTCCTAACCTTCTGTGCCATAGATTCTCCACTGAAATGTAACTCTGGTTAGGCAACGGTTCTATTATCTTGTTCATTGGTAACACATATAGTTCATTTTTGTTTTCACACTTCGACACAAAATTTCTACCCTTTATGGTTGTGCCTTCTCTTTGGACTACATTCTTATGCCCCCTTGTAGCTTTGAGGCTGACAACAAATTGTGCTTTATACCTGGAACAATGAGTCCTTCAACTGACAATTTGACCCCTTGACACTCTGCTTTTAATACTCTCGTCTTGTTGGACCTTAAAATTTCTCCATTGGCAATATGTATTGACACATAATTTGGTAGCTCCTGCACACTAGGCATTTTTCCTTGTATCCTTCTATCTCCCGACGTTTGTACACTTCCTTTTCCTCTATCAACACGTGAGTTATCTCTGAATCCTCTATGTTGCCTGCCTCTAAAGTTCCCTTTTTTTCGTGGACACTGCGCTTGAAAATGTTGGGGACTACCGCACGCAAAACATTTCTTGCTACTTACATTCGAACCCATTTCGCTATCTTCATTGCTACAGTTAGCTTTTGATTTCATTTTTATTTCCTCGTCCAATAACCTCGCTTTAACAAAATCAAATTTTACATCTGAAAGTGTCTCCAAAGCTGTTACAGCTGTATCATATTGTACTGGCAGTGACAATAGTAAATAGCAAACTTTATCACTCTCACTTAGGTCTGATCCATGCTTTTTAAGCTCCCTGATAATTGTATTAAATTTTAAAAAATGGTCTTCAAGCCTTTCATTCACGGTAGTTTTTAGATTTAACAGGTTTCTCCAACAGGACAATCTTGTAATAATATCCAAGTGTTTGTCCGACACACCTTGAACTATTATTGACTGTGCTTTATAATCATTTTTCTCCCATTCCTCCTTTTCATTCGAAGTAGCACTTTCTCCTGGTTTATTACCTTGGATGACCTCCTGGCAGTTTTCCGTTCGAGGCAAAGTTACCATTTTGAATTGCCAATTATTAAAATTGTTTGCTTCTAAAATTGGCACTGTATCGCTGTGTATTTCAGCCATAGCTAAAAGTACGAAATTCCAAATTGTTTACAGCTCTTATTTTACAATCCTTCGCTTCTGGAATCTTAGCCCACAACCTCTTGAATTATGTGGGTTTAATAACACACACTGAAGCGTTTTATTTAAGAAGGATGTATTAAATATTGGAATTTTGTATAAGAAAACTGACAAAATTCATTCTACACTTAAACTATTTGGTCGGGCATTTTACTGTGTGTGTGTGTGTTTTTTTTTTTCGAGTCACGTACGCAAAAGAAAGTATTATTACAAAACAATACTATGTGACAATAACTAAAACACCCATACAGATCATGTATATTTTAACACAAAGCAAATTAACTGCGTTCTGCACTAATACATTCAACACATTGTACTTCATTCTTTTCAATAAAGGCCTTATTAAATAATTCATGTATTTGTTCATTTATATTTTTACATTGTGTTCATTCTCCAACTATATCTTCTGTGAACTTCAAAACGAGTTAATAAAACACTATATAAAATGTGATTATAATTAAGAATAAGTCGTCGTAACAGGACTGGAGTGTGCATCTGGAAAAAAATATTTCTTAATAAATCAATTCTCCTTTTAGGATTTATCATGTGAGCTTACACCTTTAAAAAATTCTGAGCATTTCTTGAAAAGTAATTTTTGGTTATTGCAATTGAATTCAGATGGCAATAAAATATAGGTAAATTATTGTGTGAATTAATACTAGTACTTAAAGCCCGGTAGATACAATGCAATTTCTACATGTACTTTTAACATTTTACAATTGCTGTTAAATATTTTTGAGGGGGAATTTTTTGCAGTAGCCACCATGCAATTTTTGTTAGCAAAATGTTTTTTTTTTTTCATTGAGACAATAAACGATACTCTTTAGTGTTTGGTAATGTTAATTCTGTTACATTTGGAGCTAATTATTTATTGAGTTGTTTTATACTAGTTTTTAAATTTCTTGGTTATATTTTCCAATACCTACATATCTAATGAAATTGTCCATTGGTGCTTTTCATAATAATATTTTTGGGAGGCGAAACTGTCTGCAATTACTAGACTTGCGATGAAATAATGAGCACTCTGTCTCTATGAGGTGCTTGTTGAACATTTTTTCCATTTAGATGTTTCCAGTGCGATATCTAGTACCTCAAAGTTATATTTACACTTTTAGTAAGGGCCAGTATATTACCTAATAGCTATGTGGGTAACACATATTTATGGGCCCCTACCCCTAGCCTACTTTACAGATAAGATGGGGCATTTCCCATGGCCACATGAAAATCACATAAAAATGTACTTATGGTGATACAAAAGTACTTTCAATCTACAGCATCGTGAATCTGGCTTCTGGACTCCGGGATCCAGAGCGGCCCAGAAATGTCCCTAATGGCCCCAGCAAATATTTTGTTGTTGCATTGGTGTAGCAGAAAATATTTAGACTGATTGTTCTCTTTTATGATGTAAAACTGTTGAAATAGATGAAATGAAACAAAAATTTTAAGCACAAGCATTTTAATAATAATTCCCAAAACATCGTATAATAATTTTTTTCCATTTACATTTGCTTGTGTTTGACGTACAATCTACAGTGCCTTGTCCAAGTAAAAGCCTATAATAATAATAATATTTTATATTTTTATGACAAAGGTAACCTCCATCTTTATATATATATATATATATATATATATATATATATATATATATATATATATATATATATATATATATATATATATATATATATATATATATATATATATATATATATATATATATATATATATATATATATATATATATATATATATATATATATATATATATATATATATATATATATATATATATATATATATTCTCACGTATTGATTCACGGATGGAAAAATGTGATGACACTATATTCCGGGATATCATCCGTTCGCTCGTTGAACTCCGACTGGAATCCTGCATCCGACTGGAATCCTGCAAATCTTGCATCCGACTGGAATCCTGCAGACGTTTCGCCAAAATCTCACTTGGCATCTTCAATGCTCGCGCTCCGAAAACACTTCGAAGTGTTTTCGGAGCGCGAGCATTGAAGATGCCAAGTGAGATTTTGGCGAAACGTCTGCAGGATTCCAGTCGGATGCAAGATTTGCAGGATTCCAGTCGGATGCAGGATTCCAGTCGGAGTTCAACGAGCGAACGGATGATATCCCGGAATATAGTGTCATCACATTTTTCCATCCGTGAATCAATACGTGAGAATATCATACACCTTTACGGGAAGGAGATCTTTACAGCCACCAAGTGTTATGAAAAACTAAGACAAAGGCAGTGTTCGAAGTGTTTTCGGAGCGCGAGCATTGAAGATGCCAAGTGAGATTTTGGCGAAACGTCTGCAGGATTCCAGTCGGATGCAAGATTTGCAGGATTCCAGTCGGATGCAGGATTCCAGTCGGAGTTCAACGAGCGAACGGATGATATCCCGGAATATAGTGTCATCATATATATATATATATATATATATATATATATATATATATATATATATATATATATATATATATATATATATATATATATATATATATATATATATATATATATATATATATATATATATATATATATATATATATATATATATATTTCACGTATTGATTCACGGATGGAAAAATGTGATGACACTATATTCCAGGATATCATCCGTTCGCTTGTTGAACTCCGCCTGGAATCCTGTAGACGTTTCACCAAAATCTCACTTGGCATCTTCAATGCTCGCGCTCCGTGAGAGTTCGAAGTGTATATATATATATATATATATATATATATATATATATATATATATATATATCCTGCAGGATTCCAGTCTCGGATGCAGGATTTGCAGGATTCCAGTCGGAGTTCAACGAGCGAACGGATATCCCGGAATATAGTGTCATCATATTTTTCCATCCGTGAATCAATACGTGAGAATATATATATATATATATATATATATATATATATATATATATATATATATATATATATATATATATATATATATATATATATATATATATATATATATATATATATATATATATATATATATATATATATATATATATATATATATATATATATATATATATATATATATATATATATATATATATATATATATATATATATATATATATATACATACAGGGTTTTTCACTTAAAACTCCGCACGCCAATAAGTCCAAAACGAAAAGAAAAATTTAATTTATGTAAAAAGTAGTCAAAGTGTGGGGTCAAGTAGATATTTAAAGTTTAAAAAATTCGACGCCTGCAAATAGCTGGGCGTCGCGACGCGTCGATTGCAGAGACTTTGGAAATACGCGCATACAAAAGTACATATTATTTAAAAATTTTTTTGTTATTCACTCAAACTTATTTACTTTACCCGTTTCTAAGTTATACCGATTTAAAGTAAACATTTCTTGATTAATAAAAAATGTGATTAACGCTTATTTTTACAAGTATGCCATGAATGTTAGTTACTATGGCAACCATTGTTATCGCAGTTGTTTTAAGTGCAATTACAAACAATAGATTTCAACTATTTTAGTATGATTTTATTTATTACTTTTTATCGATTTAGTTCTGATAACATGATAAATAAATGAAAAAACAGTAAAATACCTACAAGTTAATAACCAAAATTATTATTGCAATTAACTACATAATAAGACATTTCAAAAATTTTGTTCAAAATTATGTCCATCTGCTCGAACACAACTATCAAAAACTTTTAACAGATGAGCTTGGGTCACTTGTAGGAGAGTCCTTCTTGTGATAGCGGCACACGCTGCACTAATTTTGTTAATGAGATCAGCTATATCTTTGATAGGTTCTTCATAGATAACGTTTTTTAGGTAGCCCCAAAGAAAATAATCTGGTGGTGTAATGTCCGGGGACCTCGCCGGTCACCTTACCGGTCCATTAGTACCAAACCATCTATTGGGATATTCTCGGTTCAAATACCTCGTTACTATTTGGGCATTATGTGCTGTAGCCACATATCCATTCTAGAGTCAAGAGGCACTTCTTCTAATAGTTCCGGAAGTGTAGTATATAATGTATAATTATTTTAATAAACGGCAAATATATTTATTTAAGACTTCAAAAATTACCAAGAAAGATCATATGCCTACTGCCACAAAATTAATGCCCATATTTGATGAAGGGCAGGTCCAACAAATTGGTTAATATCCTTTCATACAGGGCCTTGTGACAAAAATGGCTCATGCCAAGCTTTTGTGCCAAACTGTATAACCAAACTAATATCTAGGTCACTCGCTCCCAGAACTCTAGTCAAGTCTTTCAGTTCTGCAGGTACATTCAATTCCCTTCAGCTCTGCATAGAGGCACAAACTGAGTTGAACGAAGTAAGGCACCTTTGGCAGTTCCAAAAATTACGTTAACATAATTAAAATTTATTAATACTTACATAGTTTCAGTCATACAGTGTAATGTACTACACATTTCTACAAATATTTTTATTACTAATAACTTCTTTACCTTGTTGCAAGTGTATTCTTTTGGCCTCCTTTCTTACACATGCTTGCAACTCCTGTCTCCTATTTGGTCCTTCAAGTGTTCATGATTATGTTGTCCCTTCCTTAATATGAATACACCGTTCTCTTCAACTTTTCCTGATGCTTGATATTTTGTTTCTGTGCTTCTGAGATATCTTTTTGCAAAAACTCGAATATACATATATTTATTAACCTTTAATCCTATAAATTGAATAAATTGAATAATATTATAAAATACGACGTTTTTGCACTAAACATGCAAAACGAATTTTTTGTGGGCTACTATAAAATATTAAATCAATTTTACCTCGTTCCGTTACACCTTCTGCATGAATAATACATAAAGTCGTCGTGAAAAACTATTTGTTAAGGGGTTATGTTCCTGTTCTGCATTACGTTATGAATTTACTACCCACAATTAACTGAATTTCTGTTTAAAAAAGTAATAAAATGTTAACTTGATATCCCTGTATAAATCACTGGTTCTAACCTAACATTCTGTCAGTGGATCACATACACGTCACGTCTCAGCTGTTGGCGGTTTGGCTGTTACAAACCACCCCCCGCCCGAACCCGAACGCCGGACCGGATTTTCGACCATTTGATCATTCGATCATTTGCTACCATCTCGATTTCAACACTTTTAACTCCGCCTGTGGAGGGGACAAAAGTGGTTCCAATTCTAATTAGCTTAAATACAAATTATTTTTACGAGAGTTTCCAAGTAAGTTTTTTTTCTCAGAAAATAAGCAATGTCATTTAGCTAAAATAAAACTACCGCAGTAGGAATTAGATATCGGATGTCAACATCATACTTGCAATAGTGGGCAGAAATGCATTAGCAGCTGTTCATTGCCAATTGGATTAATTTTCATCTAAGACAACATTTTACTATATTATTTAGATTATTTGGCTGTTTTGCTGTTCAGGAGAAAATATTCAAAGAAGTTACTTTTATTTTGAATCTCGATTTTGAAGAAATGCTTTTATTGCCGTCTCCTAGATTGGCATTGATAAAATTAAATCAGTTTTTTCTGCTTCAAAACAGATTAATTTGATATATTCCACATAAATCTGTCTCTTTTCCACATTTTTGAAATCTGACTCTTTGGAGTATCCAACCTAAATTAGATCTCTAATCATTATTATCTTTATTACCTCTTCACTTTTAGAAGGTAACTTTTCTCATTTTTTACAAACCATTATGTTAAAAAAATGATTATTATAATAATTACTGTTTAACGAAATAATAGCAAGATATTTTGTTAATGCATATTGAGTTAAGTTTTTAATTTTCAGTGTAGAGTATATTGTTAAAAAACCTGGCAATTTTCAATACTCGCAACATTGTCTCATCCCGTCAAGTTATGTACATCACCTTAAAATGTAAACAATTGCATATCCCTTGATTATATCTATTAAATTGAAAGAAACCAAATTACTGTCAATGGAAGTACTGTTTTGATGCGTCTGACAGCCATCTTCAACCGGAAGAGCAAACACCTTTAAACAAAAAATTGTAAGCATAAGTGCAATCCCTATTTTGTTGATGCAAAAGGTCAAAGTTAACCTCAACTGGGCTATGTCCACTAATTATAGCACAGACAAAGCCTAGGAGAGGCTAGCTCTAAACTCTCTAACAATCGGTGCACCTACTAAATAATAAAATCGGAGATTGGTTGTACGGAGGGTGTTCCAGACTTAATGGGACAATAAAATTCCTTGGACAGAAATATCAATTTTTGATACAAATTCAAATTGCTTAACGCACAGTTTGCATTTTACTAACTGCAGAATAAGTATCACATTTGTATTTGTACGGTCCAGAGTCAAGAAGCAAAAATACGATTTATACATTAATTAGAAAAGAAATTGAAATTATAGTTCGTCAATATTAGACTCCATCAATCACAAATAACAATAGGACATGCCGTAGGGAATTATTAAATTGCAACATTAAGATGGTAAGCACGTAATTGTATGTAATACAGTGTTAATGCAATATACTGATATAATAAAACAATAGGACATGAATGTGACTATAAGTATTATAAATCATAAAAATGTAAAACTTATTTGAAAAAAAAATGACAACTTAATTAAGATTAATCTTGAACAACTAGCTAAAATAAACTTACTCGGCAATATTCGAAAGGAAACATACAACCTGATAAATTGTAAGCCTCATTTTTAGGTAAATTGTACAAATGATTGATTTAAAACTGAATTTTAGACATATCATGTACACGTACCCTTCTTGCACTCAAATCGACTAGGTACTGCTATTTGAAATTCGCTGACTAAATATATCCTATTAAAAATGATTGCTATTAATTCTTCCTCATACACCCCTTATTTCCGTTAATAATGTTATTAAAAACATTACTTTGATTATGTTCCACTAAAAGCACGCGGTACAGTGCCATTCTAGCCGTTGTAAAGTATGTGCCGATATACATGATGTTTTGGAATAATTGATGGATGATGTTTAATTTTTAAGTGTAAAAGGTAAATTTTATCATCAAGAATAAAAACGACATAATTGCGTTAAACTAATTAAAAATAAGCAGAATGAACGTAATTAATTTATTAGTTAATTCAAGTTTTAATTTAATAATCTGTATACGAACTATTAGGCTTAACAATAAATTGTTAAAAAATTGTTTTACTCTTATTACACTTATTTTATCTTTAGGATCTAATTTACTCTACTTGTAGGTAGATACTAACTATGTCACATATATTATTCCATGTAATTATTGTATTAAATTCATTATTTTTGAATTGGTCAGGGTTACTATAATATTCACATGCGCAATTGGAAATGGATTTCTACAATTATAATGCATAAACACAAGTTTAGTTGCATGAATATAAACACTAATAAAATGCTAAATTACTCACAAGAAATATATAGAAATTCTTTTGATATAGCGCAGCCGAATATGCAAATTGTACCAAAAAATATTATGAACTGCGGCTCGAATTATTATAACACAGATTAGTGAAAACAATCATCAAATAAACAAACCAGATTCAGGTTTTTTGGTGGTGGGAGGGCGCTCTCTTAACCCATTTTACTCTTATTCCGAAAACTTTTTTTTAGATACGATTACGTCGGCAATATTTTCCTATGCATTGCTAAAATAAAGATAACTATATTCCTGGAATCTGATTTGTTTCCTTTAAGAAATATATGGAAACCGTGTTTCGTCTCGTAACACAATAAAGACTATTACAATGATAAAAGAACTAACCAAAAAAAAAATATTTTAAGAAAATTGGATATTTGTTTTTTTAAGCTTGATAAAATTTTCGATTTTTCTTAGACCATATAATTAGTATTATATTCTCATAAAAGAAGGTATTTTGAAGATCTCAATGGACGAATTGAAGGTAAATAAGAGATACAGGACAAATACTATTAAAAATCGCAGACGCTTACTGTACTTACGGTACTAATATCAAAATTTGTGTAACGATATTATTTGCTTGATATTAATAAAGATCAGATATTTAAAAGATTCATTTCAATAAAATTGGATAATATTTCTTACAATTTTTTTTTCTTTTCTTATACTATTTTTTCTTATACTATACAGTTATTATTATAATCTTACAAACAAATTTTTGAAGGTCTACTTTAAAAATATCTGAATTTATGAGAAAATATTTACTTGATATACATAAAGATCACTGAAAAATGAGATTCATTAAAAAAATTGAATACTATTTATTTTAGATATTAATTATTAATTTTTTATAAGTTGAATAGATTTTTTAGAATTTATTTATACCACACAATTTTTATTGTATTCTCATAAAATAAAGGTCTTTGAGCATCCCAACGGAGATGTAGAAGAAATACTGTTAATAATCATAGGCGATTACTTGTTAGTACCTACTTCAAAAATATGTACCTTGTATATGAGTTTGAGGAATTATTAAATATAATAATTATTATGTAGGGAAAACATTTGTGACGTGCTGCCGCCGATCTAAAAAATGCGGAAACGAGACTGTTTTGGCAATGGGATATCTGCGAATTAGATCCGTGTTCAGGCGCCAGTCAACCGCCTCGCCGCAGCGCTATTTGAACTTTCGCAGTCGTTTTCTGTAATAAAATTGTTTTTTAGTAGCTGATTGTAGACAGCTCTCCGGCTAGTAAAGGTTGTCATTTGATTTTTAATTTTTATCATTAAGCGGTCCAAATTCGTTCGTTTCGTACATTCTGAATGAGAAGTTTACTATATTTGTAAAGTAATCAACTTTTCAGAAATTTGGAAAGTTTGAATATCTATTTTATATTTTACGAAACGTCGGGTCGGGTCGATTCCGTCCGAATGAATTTTCTATCACACTTGAAGGATCGGCCATTTACTCCTTTGGCATTTTTGAGATTCTGTTTCATCTATACAAGGAAGGTGTTCCTTAATGGTGTGTCGACACGGCAGGGGACAATTCTGAAGCTTATTTTTGCGAAAAAACTTTATGCGAACGTTCCAATGTCCCAAATCTTTAAACTTTTGAGACATCGCGTGTTGTTATTTCCGCATTTGTATTCACCATGTTGACAGACTTTTTTAAATCGATTCACCGAAAACACAACGAAAGAGATTTGACGATGAAGTTTATAAACTATAATGTATTTCAGGTTAACTAAAATAATAAAATTGTTGGTCGGTTTGGCGAAATGAAACATTTTTAATGTTATTATTTTAATTATTTTAATCTGACCAGAAAAATGCTAGAGGCGCCTTTTATACAAAATCAATAGCCATTCCAAAGAAAATATCATTTGGAAACCGTTTCTTGTACTTTAGTCATGACAGAGAATAGTTGTTTTTTCTGTGGTCATACGCTGATGCTATTTGAGCTGTTTTGCAAATATGTATCCAAAAACGTAGAAAATCCATGGTATACCACATTGAAAAATTTCTTCAAATACTTGTTTATCAAGCATTCGCTCCGCTCATGCCGAATGAACTCGTGTCATTTATAAAACTTATTGCATAATATACTTTTTAGAAAGTCAATCAAAATCTGCATCTGCTACTAGCCCTGCCTAATGCATGTCCATAACAGAGATTTAAATGTTTTTTAAACTATCAGTGCCGCCTGCGGCACATCAATTTTAACCGTAGTAGGGCCACTATAGTATCGAGGCCCTGTCTAATGTAACTAAGTAACTATGAAACAAATGTTTAAGAAGGTCCAGTCAACATGCGCATAACCGAGATTTAACTGTTTTTTAAAATATCAATGCCGCCTGCGGCGCATCAATTGTTACCGTTCATTAATATGCTTAAATTATTTTTGTAAAATTATTAGTGATCGGTACGATTCGCACGTTGCTTTTCGAATTTTACTTTTTCTTCTAAGATCCAATTAATTCTGAGGATTTACGTTTTTTTTTTTGTTGTACGCTTATGATGGATGGAATAAACACTTCTTGCTTTCACATGTACAGGTAAAAAAATAGCTTTGTAAGCTGTATACAGCGCAAAATGATTTTCTACCATCGAGAACGGTAAATCAAGAAAAAGGATTTCATAGTAGGTTGGGTTGTCTCAGTACAAATTCAATAATGGAGAAAAAAATGGGCCTATGTTACTTAGTGGTAGTGTTTTAAAACTTGAGCATTTATTCCGTTATTTGATATCAAAAATTGTTGTTTTTAGCCCTGGACCTTCGGCATTTAATAAAAGTTGGAATGGAAGAAATCGTAACCGCCATAATTTCACCGCTTCGCTATACCTACTTTTCGATGTCCCTAAAAGTCTATCCGGAACAATCCAGATTTTTGATAAAAAATTTAATAAAATGTGTAAATAGCTTTAATAATTTATATTAACAAATTAATTACTTAAAATTATTTGCCCCTTTGAAATCTTGTTCCCGAAGCTTGTTATACAAGTTGTAGAGATCACTTTTCTTCCAGTAATGTGGTCCGCGATCGCTTTTGTCGTCCCATTCTCTCAGATAACTTTCATATTCATCATGGTGACTCTTTCCTGGATTTACGTGGAAGTGAATATTTTGAGGGCTTTTTTGCTCTCCGTGTTTAGAAAATATCGTTGCGATTTTTGCCGAGGCTCCCGCTACATTCATAAATAGAAGCAACAAAAGCAGTCCGATCGTCTTTAGCGAGAACAAGGTTAAAAATCCTGTAAAGATATAACAAAGTTAACATATAATTAACCAAAACAACCCATCCAGCTTTCATCACCTAAAATGTCTAAATTATTTACTATTTTCGGATTCTTAATTTTTGTTGTTTATCCGTCAATTCGTTTCAAGTGATTTAAAGAAATTTTATATTCTAAGTGATAAATTTACTTAATAACAATTAAGATGACACTAAAGCTCATCTCATCTCAAAGAACCTACAACTTCAAATTGTCAATGTTGTTTTCATTTTACTGCGGTCTCCAATAAATTTGTGTGATAGGTTATTGATGAAATAGCTAAAAACGCAAAAGCTGTTTATTTGCGGAATAAACTTTGAGTTAAACCACTTTTTTCTTCAGTTTGAATCACCAAAGGGACAGATAAGATAATCATTTGCTTTTGTTCGTTTGCTACCGCTTTTAGGAAATTTGTCCATCATTTGTGGGAGGCCTCTCTCAGTGCGCTACAGTTACCTACACAATTGCGAAAAAATTATTCAAAATAAATACGGCGGAAAAATGTATGTAATGTATCGAAAAAATCGAAAAGAGGGAACAATAACTTTTTATGGGAGTATTACTATTATAAAAATTTCCTATTTTTTCACTTTTTTAGCATTAAAGCATTAAAGAACATTTTTTTAGAAATTTGATTTCTTTATTTGGAAAGTTTTATAATCTCACTATCAAAATTTATTTTTGTCCATATCATCGAGTAAGTTATTCCTTAAAGCTAATTTTGGTTAGTTTGTAGGGCGAGATGATGACTTTTAATATAATGTTTACTTAATCAACTAATCCTTATTTTGAGCACAGAAACGCTCTTTTTGTTGTGATTACTTGTCATTCATCCACTGTAAAAGGAGAAGAGGAAACGTTGTTGAATAGAACCTAACTTAACATGAGAGAGAGTGTTAATTTAAAATCAGTGTATTCATTACTAATAAAGTTATTTTAGTTTAATACATCCGTGTGTTGGTAAATTCACAATACTTTTTTCTATTCCCTTCTCTAAAATACCTGAATATACACCTACCGAGCGTGCGGAAAGTGTCATTTTACGATGTCAGTTTCGTTATTTCCTGGGAGCCACTTTGGTCATTTCCGGGATATTATCAACGGGTTTGAGAGCAACCGGATGTCACATGTCACTCAGTGAATGTTTTTTTGTTGTTTTGCAAAAACGTAGGTATAGTAAAAAGTAGAGTATGCAACAAGTTTGCGGACCTGAGCGTATGTTTAATATACGTGTGACGTAAATATACTATTAAGGTTTTTGCTTTTGCTTTGAATGTCGTTGATTTGAAGGGTTATTTTGACAAATGTTTTTAAAATGTGAGCTTACTCGTGGTCATGTTATTGCCACAGTTGCGATTAGCAAGTAGAAATTTGTATTTTTTTTAACTGTCTGTAAATAATTTAAAGAGAACAATAGAAAATTTGTTCAAATCGTCTCTAGATATTACCCACACTTCTAGAAAAACGTGCTGTAAAATCGTTATTTATTGCATTTTGGATAAACGCTGAAAGGGATATAATCTAGTAAAGTTTGTTTTCCATTGCATATTTCGACATCGTTCCAGATAACTACAGATTTTAAAATTTTCATTTTCAAATTAGCATAAATTATGAGTTTTCCAGAATATGATGAGGGTTATTCGTTTTATATTATTATTGGTATATTACGCGATTAAACAAGTTTGGTTGTTAATTTATCGATGCATTTGGTTATAAATAATTAATACCTAATTTCGTTACTATAACGCCCAATAACAACATTAGAATCGGAAGCAGTTGCTTTATCTTCTTGGCCACTCCGAAACAGCGACCTGCAAAACAAAAAGGTTGGTTAATATATTTTGATGTGATTAATAATTTGGATTTTCTATTCTTAAAAATGTTGTTACCAATTTTTTTGATATCGCAACTTTTTCAGTATTTAAGTAAAAATAAATACGTTCCTCTTCACCTATTTGGTAAGTGAATTGTTTCATCATGTTTTCATTGTTCACATTTACACCATTTTTTATAATTTGGAAGAAGGCGAGTATGGAACCAACCTTTATTACCAAATACCAAATATTTTTGCATATTAATCTTAGTGATAATCCAAAGATGAATTTGTTATATTATTCTAAGTACATACTATTACTACTAGCAGTGGTATTTATCAATCGTTTTATCTTTGTTGTCTTAGGTATGGGTATCATCAAAACTTATATTTATGTTCTGCCCCGTTATTAAAAACATAATAATATATCCAAATAAACAATGTGACAAAACAAACAAATAGACTAAATTAATTATAAATATTCTACTTATGCAAATAGATTCACAAGAATATAAGAAATCAAAAGAATAGGCAGTTCGATTATAATATAAGTTTTATACAGCGTGTTAAGTAAATATAGCAAAGGAACGAAAAATTACAATATATTTTCTACTCCATAATACTATATATATATATATATATATATATATATATATATATATATATATATATATATATATATATATATATATATATATATATATATATATATATATATATATATATATATATATATATATATATATATATATATATATATATATATATATATATATTTCGTAAATTATAATTTTATGGCAATATTTGGCCTATTTTTGACGAATCCAATTTTTCACCGAAGTTCAAATATATTTACCTATAAAATCACTTTGGGGATAAGCCATAATACTCGATGTAAAAAAGGAATACATTTGCTTTCTCACGTACTCCGCCGCTTCCATGTTGTTAATTGGTTCCAAGTCAGTTACTCGGAAACTCGATTCTGTTACAGTATAGGGAACTATAGTCGAGGTGACACTGGAGGAAAAGTTCGTTTTGACTAGAATATCGAGAGCAACCATTAGAGTTAAGTTGATGCAATTGGAGGAGCCAACATTATTGTGCGAGTTTAGTCTAGAATAAAAATATAAAATTAATACACTATTATTATTATTATTATTATGATAATAATAATTATTGAGTTTACAGTAGCAACTGAAAGTAGCCATAACAAACATTTTTTTCATCATCAATCATCACGAGTTCAAAAAGTTATATTATGTAGTATATGGTATATGTGTAGTGTATCATACAGGGTTTAATCAAGATGTGGCGGAGAATCGCGCTTGAGAAGGATAGAGTGGTATAGTGAAAAAGCTTTTTGCTACTAGTGTCACTTTAAGCCATCAGCTTTGTTGAATACTGTCGGGAGATACTTCTTTTTCAGGGGTTATTTGAGCGCGATCGGATGTTTTCTGCAGATTTAAACATGATATTTTAACGTTTGATAGTCCTTATTATGGTCGTAGAAAAAGTATAGTATGCAATAGTAAAGTTCATAAAACTTGTATAACATAAAATTATTGAATATGTTTATTATTATAAATGTTAGACCTTTCTAAAATAAAATGTTACTGCCATCTATTTAAGCCAATAAAGTAAACATTGAATTGATTGAAATATTTTATTTTGAAGGAGACCCCTTCAAAATCAAATATTTACATTATAAATTAAATCTGAACTCATTTATATGTGATAAAAAATGAACTGGTTTAATTAATACTTTTAGAACTCAAACATTTCCTTGAAGAAAAAATTATCTGTCCAAAATCTGTTCTGCTTTAGTTGCTCCGCCCGATATAGAAAATAATTCTTAAAATTTACAACAATAATAACAATATGTATATTCTGACAAATAAAGTTATTATTATTAATCAGCTGCAACCCATTTAGTGCTAACATGACTGCTTGCAGAATATGTACCATAAAAATTTCTTCCAAGTTATTAATGGTATGATATGAACTTAAAACTTGAACGCCCTGTAGCTTTCAAGTTGGGAGATTTGAGATTTTTTTTTCTTAAAAACGCCCTTAAGGATCACTACCCTATTCTGAAACACATTGGCTTTGAGCTCAATTGTAGATCAGCATTCCCACGAAATTCGATTGAATTTTATCAGATATTTTGCAACTATTTGTTTTCCTTGGGTCCAATTATATCGCATAAAATAAAACGTGCGAGTTTTTTGCCAAAGTTGATTTTTAACAATTCAAATTGATTTACTAATTACCAGATAAAGCAATAATTCATCATTTGTTTCGTTTTGATTCATAACGAGGGCACTTATTCAACTTTCTCCAAATATTCTCCGTTATATTTTCTCGCAAAATAAACTTAATTGTCTTTTCGACCGGAAAGGGAATCTAATTGGTGCTTGCGTGTCTCAATGACCTTCTTTCGGTGATTGGTGACGGTTTTTTTCTATGAGTATGTTTCTCTTTTTCGCCCAAAACGTACGCAAATAAAACGGATCATAATTAATATTACTATGGACATAAAAAACTCTTCGAAGGTGTTTCGCATTATTATTCCACGTGCTCGTATACTTCGTTAACAGTTATTGAGAATTATTTCAGCAATAATTACTATGGGCATTATAAAAATGACCATCAACTGTTGCTTCATTAATAAAAGCGTGTAGACAATGAAATACAAAAAAATCGAATGAACGCCAATATAATTTTAAATATAGAGACCACCAAATCTTATTATCGTGGTAACAAAAATTCTGATTACTATCAAATGCGAGTTCGATTAGTATCGAAATTTTACTCCGCATGTTGTGTCAAAAATATTCAAAAGGAACGAAATGTTGACATTTTGGCATCACAAAAGCAAAACATTCTCCAGCAGAATATATGTGAAAATATTCTTCCGAAGATTTAAGATTAAATAGTAGGCAAATAAAAATATTTTGACAATTATAAAACTAAAATAAAAATTGATTAATAACTTAATATGTTTTATGTTGGCATTTTAAATTCTAAATCTAAGCTTTGGATTGTCACAGAGCGTGTTTTATGAACGCACTGTACAATTTTACAACCATATTTTAGAAGAATGAATAACATTTTAAATATGGATTTAGTTTTATTTATTTAATTTAAGCCTTTCTTTTGTGTTCTTTGTGAATTACCTACGCGTAATCCGCATTTATAAATTTAAAAATTTAAATTAATTTCATTTTATTGGGAAATATAGTAAAATATTATTATGATAATTGGCAAATGACATACACTCTCCACGAATACACCACTAAGCTTTACTTACCAAGTCATGAAAGATAATATTTTTATTCCGTTCTGCTCAACATTTTTCCTTCATCGCGATTAGCACTCACTATATTTCTATTTAAAAATACATTAACTTTTCGAATAGAGGGGTAGAACAAAAGATTAAATTACAATTTGCTTTCAATAGTCCTTTTTGTAGGAGTTTATCCTAAATGTAGTGTGAAGACTGTTAAACGTTCAATATTTGATTTTACAGTTATGTCTTCCGCCAGTTCTTAGCTCTGCCAATCTGACCGAAGAAAGTATGGGCATAAGTGGGGAATACCGATGGTATGTTTAACGTGTTCGTTGTATCAAGCTAGTGACGTCATTTGGCAATAAATTGGGGACACCGTTGTAGTTTTGTTGATTTTGTAGGAGTGTCAAAACATGTCAGTCCCATAAAACGTTCGAGATCAATTACGAATTTTAACTAGTATAACTTCTCCCGATAACTTTGTTTAAAAAATTGATTCGATAAAATGCTAAAGGCTTTGTTATCTTTTTGATTATTAGAAAATAACTTTAGACATAGCGACGCGTTAGAAGTTATCGATTATATTTTGTATGTCTGTGTTCTGAAGAAAAATTAAGGAATATTAAGTAAACAGCGCGTAATCCTGATTATATTGCCCATCCTAAAATTTATTTAATATTTTTTGAGCATATTTATTATTTACTGATAGCTATTGCTCATATAATTGCAGTCAATAGGTAGTGTGAGTAAGTTTTTGTAAAAATCAGGATGATAATCGAATGTAAACTTTTAACCTTTTTTAACAGTTTTTGACGCTTTTCGAAAATATTTGTCTGTTAATTTTTTGACGTAAATGATCAATGTCAATGCGAACCCTGTAGGCGCTTAGCGAATCGAATTAATATTCTCTCTTTATTTTGGATCCATTTAGAAGACGTCCAGGAGAGTGTCTCTTTAAGAGAGTCACTTTAATGGAAAGGCGGGACTGAACGAATGTATCTATAGGAGTAAGGTCAAAAACAGAGTTGTTTAAAAATGGAGGGGCTCACTCTTATATCTCAGAAAAGCGCAGTCAACTAGTGATCAATGATTCTAAATTAGAATGAATACTATTTAAAGACATAAGTGTTAAACTTCACTTCTTAATTTTTCAAAGAAACTTCCACAGGCTACTGTAATGCTTTTTACAGAACTTCTGTTTTCCTCCTGCGTCGGTTTTTGCTTAGTCGAAATTGCTGACGTTTCGCTAATCATCTTGTTGGCTTGACTGAAACTGGCTACTACAGTTTCAGTCAATGATTGGCGAAATGTCAGCAATTTCGACTAAGCAAAAACCGACGAAGGAAGAATCCAGAAGTTTTGTAAAAAGCACTTCACTTCTTTTTAAAACTAGTTTTAAAACAAAATATTTTTTCACTGAAATTTTTGGTAAGGAATTTCGTAACTGTTTTTGAGACTTTTTGTGGCATTTAATTGATATAGTTCAGTTTCAGGTTTTGTTAAAAACTTGGGAGTTATGGATTATACCGCAAGTCGCCGTTACCACCCGATATATTGAGTATTGTCCTGTATCTATCTTATGTAGAACACTCTCTATACTTAACCACAGTTAGTAGTTGTGGCGACCCTGTTCTATTTAACAGACGTTAAAATCTACAAATCTAAATTAAATGACTGCAAAAGTGTTCTGCTACAGTTTCAGTCTCGCTCAATTGAGAGGTTATAAGTGTTCTTCCCTCAAAAGATTGTCAATACTCAGTAATTTTTAAACGTCAATAGTTAATTTGATTATCACAGCTTGAAGTTAGAAATAAATGCTAGTTTATTAAAAATCGCTTAGTATGTTTTGTTTGCACTGACCACAAGAGCATATTTGTTTCTGTTTACTGCCCTGCTAAATTAAATATTGATTTCCAATAAAAACCTTCAAACTTAAGTTAAGCAAATACGAACTTTTGTTTTAAACATTTTGCGTCCCCGTGCTTGTCGACGTTGTAGAAGTTTGTATGTGAATCCATGACAATTTGACGAAAAATGGATATTTTGGCAATTTTATTAACAAAGAATGTTTCATATTGGAAAAATAGACGCAGCTGCTCTAAAAAGAATGTGTTTGTGTACTTTGGGTATTGTGCAACTAAATATCTTCTTGTCCAAATTTGCTTGTATATTTTTTTACATTAATTTAATGTGTTGTTCACACAAATCTGTACTTAATTTTTAGTGTATATTTACTGTACTTTTAATTGACGCAATCAAATGTATAATATTAATGTATAAGTATTCTATTAAAAAATGTGACATGGTAGATGTAAGTATTTTTCTATAACATTTTGAACTGGGATTAACCATTTTAGATTATCGTTGTGAAAAATTTACAAATATTTTTCCTGCTCGTGTACTTTTTAGATCAATGCGTACAAAAACCCGTAGTGAGAACAACCTTAAAGGTTATAAAAAGTTTAAATATTAGTCGTTCAATTCTCTAAAATGCGCTGATATTTTCATCTACATAAATTGCAGGAAAATATTTATGCGATCAAAGCAGAAAATATGTTGTCCAAAAAATAACCGGTTCCCTTTTGTCCGCAAAAGCATGATCTGCGATTGTCTATCTATGGCGAAGCTTTTTCGTTTTTCCTTTACTGACAATCGGCTTTTGCACGGTTTTACCGTACATCGCTACGACACTAAATAGCGAACGAATAAAGTGACGCACCCACAACCATTGTGGAACAAAATATCGTTTCCTTTTTAGGATTTTATTCCAATTGTGGCATATTGCAGGTTTATTGCAGATGCTGTTTCCTGAAGAACCTCGTTACCTTTAGGATTTATTTGGTTGAGGCTTGTTACCGTCTCGCACCCTTCGCAGACTCTGTTGTTCAGAATGTTGCACTCGCTATTGACGACTTTGTTAACATAGTAAAATGTGCAGTGCTTAACGTCAACGAACAGATATCTAATTATCTATGGTGTTCCGTCAATATTCGTTACGTATGGGCAAATTTTTATTTGTGTGGTCAATATTGGCTCTGTGTTTGTTGTTTTCTTTATTATACACTAATGGTTGTAATAAGAGACTGTTTTTACATTGTTCTATTCTATTCTATTGATTCTATTTTTGGGAGTTTTGTTATTGAGTACTTCGTGACATCATTCAATCGTTTATATCCTTCTTTGAGCCAAGTGGCTGTGAAATATTTTGACTATTTTTGAGGGTGGCGATTTTGCGTATATATTATATAATTTATTTTCAGCGATGCGACATTGTCGTTTTCTCGACCGTTTCGCCTTTTATTTATGTTTATTTTAATTAAATTAATTATTTTACTTATTTCTGGTTAAAAATATAGCTTCAAATAAATCTTTAGTACAGCTATGTTTGAATACGTAGATAGCTGAAATTTTTTGTATAGTCTGCGAAGATCTCACGCAATAGTTGTATTCGCGTGGAAACAATCATAATGGATATTTCATTGCTTCAAACGGAATACCCTATATTTTATCAAATTTCCAAGAAAACCTTCAATGGATTATTTGCTTAACGTTGCCAATTACTTCGAATGAACATTTAGAAAATTTGACAGTTAATGAATTATTATTAATCGCTATATAGTGATAAATTTTGCTCAATTTGTTTATTTTCCACGAATAATGGTAAACAACATTTATTCTGATTGACAACCAATGAACGAGATGCGTGCACCAATCATAAAATAAATTCATAAATTTCCAATCAAAACTAAGTTTAGTTGCCGCGTTAAGTAACAGATACGGAGGGGAGGGGGAGAAACATAACAGTCCTAAACTGTCACTATTTCATGTGGTACTTTTTGATATTGCTACCACAAAAACTGATGGAAAAAAATGCCGTAAATGCAGTTTGCAAAACACTCATATATATTGCTGCATTGTATGTGCTGTTAGGCTTAGGATTATCTATTGTAAATTTCCAAAGAGCGCTTAATATCTCACATTCCAATAATTGATAGCTGCTATCGGGAATTATTTTCTTCCACCTGACATGGTTACCATAGCAGCTATTCATATTTACCATATAGCTATTAGATAATACAGTGGTTCTACTATGATAAAAGTTAATGCGCCGTAGGCGGCATTGATATTTTCGTATTTTTTTCATAGTTGCTCTATATCTCCAGTAGCTATAATGATATTTACGAGTGTTGACTCATCCCTTGCATCACAACAAGTCAAAGTCAAAGGGATAATTGCAATTTTTACGTAATCGAAAATAGCAATAGTATGATTCGAATCAAACTGTACAACTTTTAAAATAATTTCGTGTTTTTAGTACCGTTTACCAATAAACTAATAAATTAAGTGCGGTTTTGAGTATTACAATCGCATTTTTAGATAAAAATTGTCCTTCTCTCGATTTTCGTGAAACCAGATCCGCGAAATTCGAGGAGACTCCTCTCGGACAAAAAACTCGTCCTCGGCCGGAGGCGCACGCTCTGTGGCGTCGCATTATCAAGTGCGCCGGGACGCCGCAGTTTGTCGGCGAAGCGCGAACTTGGGGCATCCATACGTGGCGTTAGTGACGGGAAAAAAATCGCGTTCCAATTTCGAAGTTTAGCAGTCCGCTGACGAATTGAAAAAAAAGTCAACTATGACGTTTTAGAGTAAAAATTTTTTTTTTGACGTCGCTGTAGAGTGCGCGCCGGGGTGTGTAAAGAAAGTGGCGAGAGGTGGGTTTTCCGACGTGTTTGGAATTTCCAGAGATTTTATTTGTCTAGTGCACAAATTTTTTCAATTTTTTTTTGTTTTGAATTAAGTAGATATTTACGACGACAAAAATTATGAAACCTAACAATATGGGGAAAGAACTGCCCGGGATTCATGTTAAAAAACTTATATATTAACGGGAAAAAGTGCCACATCAATAAGCAAAGGAAAAAATCCCTCACCTGGAAAATTTATTGGAAATTGTTACTGAGTGTAATGTCGATCGGGAATTTTATTGATATTGTAATCTATTATTACTCTAATGTTTGAGTTGGCATTTCATATAGTCACGCCCATGATTAAACAGTTTCGATAAAACGTTTTAATGGTACTTTTAATATGCAATATCATTTTTAGTATGTATTACAAATTCGAAACTCAAGCCTAAGAGATGATTCGCTCAACAACATCGGTTATTCCGACTATTTTCCGAGTGAAATAAAAACAGGTCTATCTATCTATTTCTAATAATTTCTTATCAACCAATCATTTGTTTTTTAAATTTTTGTTTCCTTGATTATTAGTGTCAACGTTCAGAGATTAGGGACCAGATTTGTTCTCTTTCTAATATTTTGGCCTTTATCTTGGTCGAAGTTAAAAATGTTGTACGACGTTTTGATTAGATTTCTTTACCCTTGTAGTTATTTGACCGTCAATTTTTGAAAATCATCCACTCGGTGTAGATTTCATTCAACGCGTTCGAGAAAGTTCGGTCTCTCGGGAAACCTCTTCAAATGTGTACAGGGTGTTTCAAAAACCGTTCCGCTCCGTTGGTTTGGTGTCCGAAAACTCCTTCTGTGTATAAGGGGCTTCAAAAAATCGTTTTTTAAATTAAATAATTAATTATTTAAGTAATTCCGTCAGCCTTACTTGCCAAAACCTAAAATAACTTCTTTTCTATGGACATTTTTGTCAGCAGTACCTTTTACGACTCAATTAAAGGGATAAGAGTACAGGGGTAAAACCAGATTTATCCATTTAAATTAAAACGGAGAAAAGACCGTTTTCAAGTCAGATACTTACACTTAAACATGCAATAATGTGCGAAATATTCAATGTATTGGCTGTATGTACGATTTTTTTGCGGGAAATTTGATTACCGATTACCCATCTTTAGATATATTATGACGACAAACAATGGCAAAACCGATTACTTAGGCTGTTGAAAATAGATTAAAATTTACGAGTCCCAATTTGGTTGGGTTGTATGTATCAACATACCTTGTTTTTCCCATGTACGCATGGACTATCCCAGTTTTTCTTCTGTGTGGTAGAAACAAAATATATAGGAACAACTGTCCTGATTTTTGTATCTTTGAATCACATAGAATATTTGCCTACAAAATGGCACTGACATCCTGTTTTTCATATAAAAATGTGACAAACGTTATTTTTTATTATTCTATTTACCCTAGAAATTAGCGGAAAGTTTTGTGAAACACGATGTTTTGTAAAATTGTCATTTAAGGTGCGCGCTAAGTTTCTAATCAGTTAAAGCCTAGTAGACACGATGCAACTTCTACATGTATTTCTGCATGTATTTATCAGATACAAATTGCCGTTAAAAATACATGATGATAGACATGATGCAATTTTTTCGAGCAAAATTCACTTTATTATTTTGGTGAAAATTTATTTTTATAGGTTATTTTTTAATTCTGGAAAAATAGCTGCTAATTTTATCTGCCAAATTCCTTGCATTTGATAGTAGAGATGTTGCAATATTTACTTCAAAAAATATATACAGAAATACATGTAGAAATTGCATCGTGTCCACTGGGTTGTGAGTAGCGCTGCGTTAAAGCCTGTCATATATCTTCAATTCAATTATAAATTTGATACTGTAGCAACTTTTAAAGTTAATACGTTAATTTAAACAACAACAATTGCTTAAAAATGTTTTGCTTAAATTTCGGATTACGAAAGGACATGAATATTTAAGAAACATCAACTGAGTGGAAATTGTGGAAATATCAGATATACAGAATTAGATTCAGATCACAATTTGTTTGAAAATGAAAAATTTACTCTTACGAAGCACCCTCTAATGGGATTTGCAATTCTTTTTAGTCATCTGTAGTATCACTGGATATACCAACGAATCGATCGAATGGTATTTGTGTTTCTTTATACTATACATATACGATTATTAAGACTAGACACAGGATCGTTTCGAAAATTTAGTCATTTAATGTTCACGTCAGAAAGTTTGGTTCAATTTTTATGTGCAATAAAATTTAAGTGACACTCTTAGCCATAAAACGCTTCCATAAATTAGCTGTCTGGTAAACCTCTATTAAGTAAGATCTGCTTTAGTATATACTCTCCTAAAAGTACACATACGGACTTTGCGTTTGGAATAATACTTTTGCAGTTCTGTTTCCCTTTTACTGTTGTTAACTATTATGGGTCAAGCTAAACAATGTTAGATCGTATAATAACTGCTAAACTATGTATTATCAGTTGTTGTTTATTTCAGATGAAATGAACTGAAGGAATACGAATCGTCTCGTTACATCTACTGGAATAAATGTGAAAGTTAAGTGATCATTATTGCCAAAGTGTGGTGACTCATCAAAAACTGCAATGCTTCCGCCTGAGGGATTCATAATCAAAATCGTACTCATCTCCTTATTTGCATCACCAGGTAACTTCTAAACATTTAAACTGAGTTGTTCGTTTCTCTTTTCTTCTATATTATATATAGGGTTAGTGTGAATTGGTGTTTCACAAGACAATAATATTTCATTACTATACTCGTCCACTTCGGAAACGGCGACTCTAAACACGCTAAAGGTTTTATAATTCCTCGGTAGCGGACAGCGCATGACAAAATCATTAACAAATGAACCTTTTGCTTACATTTCTCTTAAAGACTAGTCAAGCGTTGCGATCATTATGATTTTGGGCCAACGTTTTTTTCTCATGAACCCATATGTTGGCGTTTCTGGAAAGGTCGCCATTTTTTACAATTAAAAAAACGCTACCCTAAAGATCTCTGCAAACAAAACTAACGAGATTATTATTAAAATTTGGTGTTATTAAAATTAATATTAGATATGAATTATATACTATTCAGAAATGTCCTTTAAATTTCATATTGTTCTACAGGCCTGTATGCTATTATTATACCCATATTTTATAATTATGTAGGGCTTATATTTCACCACAATTTTGATTAGAAAAATACAATACTATTAGAGAATACAAAGAATACCACGCCAAATAATATTATTGTCGAGATCACTGGAATCAACTTGAATTAAAAGCTATAAATGTTTCCACTGAATCCAACCAATATTTTCTGAATACTGCAATAACGCTTTAAAGAAAAATTCTGGAATTTACCTACTCTTTCAGTAAACTCGAATTTTCGAGACTTATTAAGCAAACTACTATTCGCACTAATTATCCGTCAAAGTATTAGCCAATAGTCAGCAAGTACTGCCTAGTAGACTTCCAGTCAAATTTTGTCGATTGGTCCAAATCAACAGTTAAGGGAAATAGAACAGAAAACTAAACAAAATTGCGCCAATATCAGAATTAACAATTAAAATATACCTAACGAAACAACCACTTTACAAAATTTTTGAATTTTGCTGAGTAAATTTTGCAACTATTTTTATTGAATCTTGAAAACCTGTTTCTCTCTTGTCGCTGTCATATATAGTTCTTTGAATAGGTGAGACAATGTTCAGACAGAGGGATCACTGTCCGTTAGCAATTGTAAACTAAACTAATCCTGAAGACTACTGCGGTTATGCAGGATGTTTAAAAAAATGCTCCACTATTTTTTAGAGTAAACAGAACATTAAAAATTAATGCTAGTTTGGTTAATAAACACTTTCGGAAGATCGCAACTCTGTAAAAGGGGTCCCAAAAAATAGTTTTTTAATATTTCTGAAACGGATTCGATTTTGTCATAAAGGTTTTTTTGGACATGCATAACGTTTTTTAAACATTTTTCTACAAAAAGGGTACTCTTGTCAAAGTAAAAAAATACTGGATCTGACGTAATTAAATAATTATTTCATTATTATTAATAATTCATTAATGCATAATCAATTTAATAATTGTCATTACGTGAGAATGAACTTATTTTAGGGAATAAATATTGCTTCACAAAGAACAATGATGTAAAAATTTTGCCAATTTTTATTGTTTCAGAATTATAAAAAAAAAATTCTTGTAACTCCTTATACAGCCGTGTGAATTTTTTGAAGAACCATGGCGTTATTTTTTAATATTATATCCGGTATCCCTATCGTGTAACCCGTCTATTAGTTTAAACTCTTCATCCTTGACCGAGTTTTGTGCAATCAACCATGAATCTATCCACGAAGGACGCAAGCACGCTTGCTTATATTTCTCTTTCGAGTGACCAACATGGGGGATCATTTTATGTTGTGTTGCTTGAACCAGACATGCTCTGCTAGCCCAGGTATTTGCTTTGTGTTTTTGTGTCCTTCTATATTCTACATTTTGTCTCTCTAACATACATACATTTTTTTTGTTAGTTGTCTTCATTTTTTCTTCATTTCTTTTATACATACGGAATTGTTAAGAGTAAGGTAATGTCTTCGTCATACGGAATTGTTAAGGGTAAGATAATGTCTTCGTCAGGTGCACACGAAAGGACGAAACGGATTCCCAGAGCACATTGGGTTCAAACAAGACAAGAGGCCTGTGTTGTGTGCAGAGAATCGCACAAATTTAAAAAGCTATATTCGTAGTAACTATCCCATATTAAGTTAAATAAACAATACAAAAATACTATGTCAATAATATTAATAAAGACAATGAACAAAATTCTTAATCAATTAAACATGTATGTCTGCATTTTTGTGATTTACAGCACTCTCCTTATGTCGTTCATTCTAATACTGAACTGATAATGCCATCCCATAAAGTTGCACCTTGATATTGCGGTGCGTTATTTGCAAAACGGTCGCTCAGAGAGCCTTGGTTACATAATCATATTTGTCGAGCCAACCATAATTTCGGAGTTTCGAATGTGAGTTTATAATTGAGGGCTACGGTTGCAGATAGTTAAACACAATTAATGAACTGCTTGAAAGCTATGTCGTTGCGACACTCCCAAGTAATAATGCATCCAGAGCGTTACATAGATTGAAAGAATGATTTTTTTCCTAAATGGCAATATATATTATTTGGCTTCTACATTGAGGCAGCCTGCAGAGGAAGAAATGAATTTAAAATGTCTACATTTTTATCCCGTTTTGCTAGGCCGACCAAATGTAATTCTCACTACACTACTGATATCAGAAATATGTTGTTGTAATAGGCATGCAAATTAATCGCAAAATTGATGTATCAGAGCAACCTACATAAAATAATCAACTGTAAGTATTATAGATTGTTGGGTAATCAATAGCTAGCGGAAATTCAAAATTTGTGAAAAACTTTAAATATTTCATCATGGTACCAGTAATGTTAGGCAAAGTGGTTAAGGCCTTCGTAGCCAGTTGATGAACTGTTGTCTTGGTTAGGGTCTAAAGGCTGTCGTCGCGTGGAATTCCATTCCACCAGACCACTCGTGTTAGCGAAACGTTAGGAAGCAATAGGGTACGTTCAACATCAGGAAGGTTCTCTCAAGAAGCTTGCCATTCGTGCTAGCGAAACGTTAGGAAACAATTCCATCCGACGGCAGTCTTTAGACCCGAACCAGACAACAATAATGTTATATTTAATAAGCAATATAAACACAATAAATTAGAACTAAATGTTCAGATTTTCACGAAATTATATATATTCACATGACAATTGTTTCGACAACACCGTGTCTTTATCAAATGAAAAGAAACATAAAGTTTTATTATTTTGGTACTTTATACCATTATAAAAATTTCAACATCAACATTCAAAAACATTGGCTCTCAGTTTGTTAATTCGACGAGTTTCAGTTTGGTTTGATATTTTCTGAATGCTATATTTTCAAAATGTGCTCAATTATATTTTTAATCAAACAACGAGTGTGTGTGTAGATGTCGTTGATTAAATGAAACAGTAGTGTGGAATTTATATTTATGCGTGGATCCTGGGTTAGAATTTCATAGTCCCATGAGGTCAAAGTCTGTAAACACCCTTGGTGCCCCGCAAGTACTGGGGTGTGACGTCATTCGGCGACCCAGTTCTCTTTTCAACTCCCTTTAATGGTTTTTAAAAGAAAACATTTTAAACAGACTTAATTTTGTTGCCAGTTTTTATAATGAAAGTATCCATGGGCAATTGCGCGGCCAATTTTTTCCGAATTGAGAGCACGTTTCCGCTATTCCACCAAGAATTATTATTTGAAAAGTCAATTTTCACTCCAGAACGGGTTTTCTAGATGGCGACCAACAGCTCGTACCCATTACTAGATGCGTAGGGTAACCTATTGTGTTCACGGATCATGCCATGAGGTGCGAGAATTTATTCAATTTATCCAGTAGGTATATGTTTCCTACTAAATAATAAAGGGTGATTCAATAAGGGTTTCCACATTAAAACAATAAAAAAACACGGAATAATACAAAAATATACAAACATTTTTATTTGCCATTTTAGATTACTGTATTACAATTAGGTATGAAATTACGCCCGCGACTCATGTGGCATGACGTAATTCGTTAATTGAAATTTCTTATCTCTTTTTGACACAATTCAGGTTCTATGCCGGCTATTTCGCGTCTAATCTCTTGTTTCAGCTCTGGAATAGTGTTTGGTTTATTTCTATACACTCTGTTTTTTAGATACCCCAAAAAAAAAATCTAGGGGAGTATGATCACATGATCGCGGCGGCCAATTGATGTCGCCGTTACGTGAGATAATCCGACCAGGAAACTTTCTCTGGATGTGTGACATGGCTCCATCCTGTTGGAACCACAAACCTTCCAACTGCTCCCAGAAAAAATCAGATATCATGTTTCGATAGCGAACACCGTAACAGCGTTTTCCGCATTATCCTCGAAAAAAAAGGGCCAATTATTCCTCCGCAACAAAATCCACACCAAACAGTCACTTTTTGAGGATGCATTGCTTTTTGAACAACCTGTCTGGGATTTTGTAATCCCCAAATACGAGCATGAACCACATTCCAAATTGTCCTCTCAGAAGGTCGATTTTGCGCGCCGAAAAATTCACGTAGAGCCCGAAATGCATTTTTTCTTGATCGAGCATTTTCATAATAGGCTTGCACAATTTTTACACGTTGTTCAGTCGTATATTGCTCCATGACTAATTTTGTTTATGTTTTGAGGTTAGAAATCTCATATGATAATTAACAAATACAGTGGTGTTTCAAAAATATTTCAGATTGTAATGTGGAAACTCTTATTGAATCACCCGTTAAATATCAATCAGAGCCTCTTGCGAAGAGGAGTTGAATAACCTTCTGTTAATTATAATTAAAAAGTTAATTTAAAGTCAATGAAATTGACATACCTTTAAAGATTGTCATCAACTTTTAACATCAATTAAATAGATTTTTAGTTTGATTCCAGAATTATTTTTACCCAGTCGACGGACGTCATTAGTTTCAGCATGTAAAGGTACAATCTGAAATATTAAATAAAAGTATAATATGAAAAACGTGATTTTTTTGAATTGAAATTTCCAATTTTTTAAAAATGTCGAAAAGCAACAACA